TTTTATTTTGAGCACTCAATAGGGAAGCTAACATTCTATCTTTAATCTAAAACATGCTCAGAGCAAATGAAAATCTCAGATCAAATATGAATAAAGTGCAAGATGTCTTAATACGATATATACATGAATATATATATAGAGGTGGATTGAGTGGCAAAACTGCGAATTTAGGAATTGAATTAGGAAATGAAAAGGCTCTATCAAAAAGAGTTCAGAGTACGAAGCAAAGCATGCATGCATGCGGGTTGAAAGGTTTTAGTCGATGTCAGCAATCAGGATAGCGTTATCATGCTGGCTGGGCAAAGAGGAAAAAGATGCATGATAAAAAATACTATATATCAAATCATCTCCAACATCAAAGAAAGGGTCAACATATAATAATAATTGCGACGGAAGATACAAAGAAAAACACACCATAAGTTTAATACTGTTATTTTCGTGACATCATGCATGCATGCATTTAGAATACGAGTCGCGTCATCAGCTTTCCTCCACAGTTGAAGGAAGGTCGCGACAGGGATAATCAGCTTGATACATATAAGATGCACAACGGATATATATACACTGAAGGTTTCCCTCACAAATATTCCTATTCAGTTCTAGACAATACAATGCTTCTTATATAGTGATTCTATATAAGCGGTTGCAGGAGAGTACAAGATTGCTCTTTAGTTTTTTCATCCATGCATATATGCATGCAGCTTTACGACAACAGTACGAAGGCAATTAGTCATTCTATCCTGAACCATGTCCATAAGTACTTGCGGTAAATTTATTGTTTGCTATACAAGAGATGTCTAACCAAAAATAACAAAGAATTAGATTTTCATGTTGATATAGCTATTAAAAGCGACCACTCGAAGAGCCTATCACTTTTATCTCGATAGCAATAAGAGGCTATATTTCGATCTCAATTCGCATCATGCCTATATATGGATGTATATTTTAGATTACCCTGAAGCTCTTTTCCCCTTCCTTTGTCACTTTACATCATTTTAAATATAAGAGCCGAAAAAAATTATCCACAATTGCAAGTAAGGGGATCATGAATTAAACCAAATTAATATTTCCATTTTTAATTGTTACCCTCTGTAAAATAAGAGCTGGTATCTTTCATAAATTGTCTGAATATATAAATATATATATATATATTTTGTCACCTGGAAATATATATAAATACGTAAATATCGATCATGTGATTGTACTGCAAATGTTAAATTTATGGGAAATCATTGGACATGTCTTGAAAATTTCTTAAATGCCACAGTTAGGCGAACAATATAGATTTGATAAACAACAGAAAAGTGAACGAAATAACCCATGTTTAATGGTCACGTTATTGCTATTTATATATTTGTATATATTTTGAGCGTATAAGCGTACATTGTTAAGCGTATATTTGTATATATATGCTTTGCTCAGTTGTTTTCGATAAACGGCATGAAGTTAATTGGTCACGAAATGAGGCTGTCGTTAGCTAAAATTTTTTTCCTCATGGAAATTAATATAGATACGACTGAGTATTTTCAGTATTTCCGTATCTGTTAACACGACCAAATCCTAAAGCAATAAAGGCTATTCAAGGGTTGCTTTGGCAACTCATGCAAATCAGGCAAAAATCTAGCTATATCGGCAGGAGCAACCGATGAATTCATGAATTGTTGGACAATGCGATTTAAAATGGAAACCGCTTTGAACGACTTCAAACGAATTGTAAATCTTGTAACAAATTCAAGCTAAAGTGGTCCAAGACAAAAAAAAACACATTTTTACTATCGTGTTCGTATTATTCGAGCCAGATATATAATTACGGTCATGCATATATTGGTTACTTTTGCAATTGTTGTTTTATATCGAGATTACGACTGACGCCATGCACTCATATATCAACCATGCATGTGACACGTGATGAAATACGTGGTAACTGGTCATATAAATTTTCAGACAACCTTTCCTAGATCCACAATTCAACTCATCTAACAGTTGCAAGTTCATATATACAATATAGCTATAGTAATACAAGATTATATGGCCATGCATTTATACGCGTAACTTTAAACGTCGGTATATATACCCCCCACATTCAACAAGTCGAACTTTCATTGCCTTTCATGGCAGCGAACGGCGCATTTTCAGATAAATATAGCAAGTCCACCAAAGGGAAAGTATAAAAAAGGTAATCGCGCCTGCATGTTGTATTGCACAATTCAACAGCGCGCCTGACGGGTTCAAGATAAGTTCATGTAAAGTGTAAATTGGAAAAAATGTGAAGTGTGGTTAATCAAAATACTTGATATAACGATATACACGTTATCAATGATGGGCACGCGTCGCGCAATTCATGTGGCTATATTTGTGGTTTCATTAATCCCGCGGATATATCGTCGACTTAAGATGTCGTGGCCCACACGGAATCTTCGATAAACAGAAACGGTTGTCTCCTAACTGTGTACATGAATGTGCATGCCATAAAAAATGACCTGTGAAAATGCGAAATACATGCAGGCCTTTACATGCATTCCTCTCAATTTGTCATTACCTCATAATATACACGTTTGCCGAAGCGCGTTTCATGAAATCATTCTTAGTTATATAGTTATCTTAGTTATATAATGTATCTAAGCCTTTGGTGCACGAAATGATACCAAACGTTTGCAATTGTTGATCGACGTTTCCGTTGTTTCGTTCGAGCATGAAAAAACCGGTGCATTAAAAGAGGCCAGCCTAAAATTTCGACCATTTCAAACAGCCAAAATACAAAATCCACTTCAGGCTGACAAATTAGACTGGTTGTGATAATCTATTAAATCGAAGTACTGACAGCATGACAGCATATATACATTGTAACTTTTCGCATGTCAGTCTGAACACAAGACGTTTCAAGATCAATGGCAGTACATATAGCAGTACACTAATAATTATAATTAAGGGAATGCATGGCTGAATACTTACGGCACTTGAACTGGGAGAAATTACAATGGCCAGAAATTGAAATCAGTTCAAGAACCAAAGTTTAAGCCTGATTTTCCACGAAGTATTTGTAATATAAGATATATATAGGTAATGATTTATAACATGTTATAAGAACCAGTTCAGCCTGTAAAAAATAGTGCTTTTTTGCGGGATTTTGCTGTAATAATGCTAACTATGGGTTTGGATTTATTCCCCGATGACTGAGTCACACACAATTCAATGCTACGTATTCGATTTGAAATCGTATAGTAAATGATATGCATGGTAATAAAAATTGTAATTAATACCATGAATGTTAAATGTTACGTATCTCGGTATGTTAACTTCTTCCAGGCACGGCTGAATGCATGTTTCATCTAATGCGTGAATGACAAACTCGCCGAACGTAGCCATAACAAATATTGTCAAGAAGACGATATATGCACTTCATTATCCATTATATATATAGTATATATCTAAAATTGGGTAGTATATATTTATATATATGGATATCTTCTTAATAATGACATGACGCAATTTAATTTATTCTTACGCTTACGAGCAATACATTCATGATCTTGGCTTGCATGCATGATACAGGATATAAACTCTGCGTGCGAAATGCTCCTTCAAGAAAGAAACGAGGAACTGTATGGAAATCTGTTCTTATATCTTGTCCAAAACATTTTCCATTCGTCCAGCCAGAACCTTGTCCATTTGCCACTTACAACGGGGAAGTTACAAATCACTGTGTATATACCTACATCTCTTCAAGTAAACTGTTTCATTCATTCAAATTAACGTGTATATTTCAAACCTTTACTATAGCAATAAACCGACGTCAGGGTAGCATCTTTTGAAATTCTTTACACACCAGTTTTTCAACAATGATATCGGTTTTAATGTTGAATGATTTCAAAATATTGATCAAATGTGCCTTTATCATTTATGCATGTACGTATGATTCATCAAACGAGGTGAGATATTTTAACTTCGATAGAACAATTAAACCTGTCTGAGACTACAAACTCAGTCGTTCATGCAAACTGTATTGTTTAATATTGACTGATCCACCGTTTAAGATAAATGGCCTCAAACAAGCTACCCCTGCATGGTGTGGAACGGCGTGGGCGATGCATATGCATACATGGCCAACTCTCGGTCAGCTTTCTACATATTTATTAGATTAACTGAGGTTGGAATTTAGTTCTATTTTTCTTATAAACAGTAAGCTTATTCCAAGCACCAACAATAAACAAATGAAAACTGGATAAGCAAACAAGTAGATTTTCCGAACTGGTCACATAAACAAAGCGATTAAACTTGTGTTGACCGACAAGTATACTGTTAAGCTGAGCATCGAAGAATATAAGGCGATTTCTTCTTCTGGTTAAGCCAGATGAAACATTATACAAACATCCTCGGTGCATGATTGCGTGAAGGAATATAGGTAAAAAAGAGGCATAAATATATTAGACACTCTTGGCATTCGATAATCAGGCTTCGCCGACTTTTTCTGACTATTTGAAGTTCCAACAACTCAATATATGTGTTCAAAGGCATGGATTGCGAAGAGTAGGTTACGGAGGATTACAATCATGCTACCAAAATTACGCCCTCTGTTGCAGCTTATAGAGCGAAGGGATCCGCTCAGTCGCTCATCGGAATGGCAGAGATGAGTGGCAGTTTTTGCCAACGTTTCTGGTTCGGTTGACAGCATGCACAAAATTCTCAAGCACTATACAGTCGGAAACAAAAAGCGCAAACGAGCGAAGATCTAGACCCATAATCAATGACAATGACGCAATTATAGCCTGACCTGCGTGATGTTTCAAGGGATGTATATTAACGCAGACCTGACAGATATTATTGAGTTAAATGTGAACTGCGTGTACAAGGTGGCCTGTCAATAAATGCGGTTTTCTAGAGCCAGCCAGATTATTAAAACTGACAAAACATAACACACGACCATAAATAGCATTAGCTTAGGCATGCTGCAAATTGAGGCTACTTCATTTTAAAAAGTTTTGCAAAAATAGTTTAGCTACCTGAAATCTTGAAAAGTTCATATTTTCGAAAGGCACCCCGACATGCATACACCAATTCACGTCTTTCGTGGCTTTTGGACGAACCCTGCTCTTGGCCTGTGACACTTTACTCCAAAGACTCGTCTTATTTTCAGAATCATGCTCTTCGATGTCGACTGGGTTGTCGGGCAACCACTCCCAGTATTCCGTAATGTTATCCCCTTCTATAACAGTCGCAAGACTGTAACTCGGTTTACAAGACAAGGTAACAAACACGGTGAGAATAGTACGTACGTAGATCTGAAAAATCATGCCTGGAGGATTATTTTCTTTTTGTTAAGCAATAAGAATTTTGATCTTTTTTCACCACCGCCACGAAACTTTGCTTCGAAAACCACCTCCCTCAATGCGCTGCTCGAAGTGTTCAAGACTTTTCTCCAACTAGAGTTTCACTCGAATGACGAGCCTTGACTTTACCCGCACCTATAATCGTTCATCTCAGTTGACTAACGTATGCACACGCTGATTGAGTTAATATATTTACCATTCACCCCGAAGTTCATTGACAGACACGATAGGATTAAGTGTAGAACAAAGGAAATTAGTTCGGTTTTATAGAATCCCTCCCATGTACGCATATTAACGCGCGATTTTATAAACTTTTTGCGCAAAAGCAAAGTTTATTTCCAGATGGCGAGTTATTGCGCTTTTTGATGCGAGTTATGTTTGAAATGTCTGAACGACTTGTATTGATGAAATGCCGCCAACATTTTTGCTATACTTCAAATTTCGCTCGCAAGTGCGACAACTTGAAAGACATTTGCATTTGGATGAGCCGATGAGATGAGGAATATTGCGTTATGACGGCTCAAATCGCGAACGTTTAACGTAACAAGACAACCCATTACGCGAGGAGTCTTCCCGTAAACGGCTCACTAGGATATACGCGCGCAGAACCCGAGTTGTTTTCGTACGACGGCTGGAAAATTGCAGTTAACCGAAATGAAGGTTGACATATTTCGACTTCCTGTATTAGTGATTTGATTAAGAGCGTCTAACTGGCGTGGATCACTGTTGAGCTGCAGTGCTAAAGCGTCAAAGACGTGAGAAGGCTCAACGCAGCTAGCAGACAGGGGGCTGTTTATCTTTAATTTTCAATTGACAATTTCTCAGTGTCATTATTTCATGCCCTGTGTTAAAATGAAAGTTTCACATTGTCAATTTTTGCCCGTTGAAAGATCCGGGTGTCTGTCGTGACTTCGCTCAGATGACCTTGGCATCGCATACTGCCTTGTGTCGCCTTCACGTTTCCAAAAAAATTCAAAAGCCTACATTTAGCACTCGAATGTCCTTGCATCTAGCACTGGAAAGCTTACGGGGCTCTACCTTGTGTAGAATGGCTTGCCTACAATGTCAATGCGATGGCAACCGCAATTCTGGAACACTCAAATCTCGAGTATTTCTGCACACTAATCCCGTCTACAGTTTTAAAGCCTTTAAAAATTAAATAGTGCAAAGATTATCATCTTCTCTTGTCAAACATAACCATTTATCACTCATTAATTCAAGCTGATGAAAACAATAATGATGCATGGCTCCACAGACATGCAGGCACGCAAAGCATTTCTTTCGAATCAATCGCAAAAAATAATCATGACTCTTTTTCGGGAAAACGATTCGATTAAATTTCCCTGTGAATCTGCGAGATTTTGCATCGTTTTCAATAATTTTTCCATTTTTGATTATTTCTCTCCCACTAATTAGTGTAGAGATATTTTAGGGATTAACTTTGAGGAATTTTGAGAGGTTTTGTAATTTTTTTACAAGAGTTCTGATAAGATTTTGTGGGAATATAGCTACTTACTTATGAAGACGTTTCACAATTTTTCGAAGGATTTTTCGATGTTGGATTACACTATCGAAATTTTACAAATTTGCCGGAATGGACGATTGGCCCTTTTCTATGGCACTGACTTGGAAAGCACGGAATTTTGATGATATATATGTATGCTATGTGTATTTTTAGAGTTTTTAGCTAGTGTGTGGTCATAGGCAGGTTAAACCGGGTTAAGATATTTGTAGTTTATTTTGGGTGCAATTAATGATACGACTTTTCCATAGCACCTGTTAACCGCTGAATGTGAGGTCTGTAGTGGAAAAACAGAAAAGGGGGCCCTTGACGGCAGTTTCTAAGGGCATACTGCATACATATACGAATTGAGAATTAGCTCTTCTCTAGTATTGAGCTTCAATAATACGTTTTTTTATATTTGTATAGATTTATTGCATGGAATTCGGCCATAGAACATATTTAGGTTACACCTTTTTGCATCAACCTAACCGAGTGTGAGGTCTAACTACAGGAGAATTATCAGATCAAGACTTGAACAATGAGTATACGGATTTCGAGCCAAACCATAAGGTTTCTCTTTATCGATTGAATAGCGCTATCCAGGCGAACAATACAATCGAACCCACGTTTACGCCAGCTTATTGTATCAAAAGACATTTTTAGTTCAAGCAGTGTTAATTGTTAATACCGACGGCGATGGCCACACACCGACTCACACAAAACCAAAGTCATAAGTCCGGATCAAACGAGGACGCAAGTCCATCGCAAGTTTACTTGTGACTTGCGTGAGACTGGTCAAACGATAGACAAGCCAAACGCAAGCCATCGCAAGTAGACGCTCAAACGAGGTACAAGCAAACACAACTGCGCAAAACTGGCGTTTGATTCGGGCTAAAGGTTGCATGGATCACGAATAGGGCAGTTAGGCCCTATTATTATATTTTTATCAAAAAATACATGCAAATGAAAAACTAAGTTGTACTTTTATGAATAAAATGCATGAAATGTACTCCAGCTAGCGCATAGTCCCAGCTAGTATATAGCTCCTCTCAAAAAACTGTGTAGTTTTTTGGCTCACCGCAAGGTAAACTTTCAACTTGACAAATACTAAACATGCAGTTGTTATGTTAATATACTGTGCACGCAGAGCGATATACTAACAAGATCACAAGAGGACCGCAATCTGCATGTTTCTCATCCGCATTTTTGCACAAAATTTTTCCATATTCCTCTGCAACCGCATTTCATTGTAAAAAAAGCCTTGAAAAACATGCAATTCGGCGATCACAGCGCGACTAATAAATTCCTCTGAAACAGCATCGAACAACTTTCGAAGCCACATTATTTTAAACCAAGTTGAAAATGGATGAAATATACTGTATATATATATTGCAACGCTTCTCTGAGTTTCATGCCACAGAGTCATCAGCAATCATCAGTCGCCTGTGGCACGAAACTCAGAGTAGCGATGCCAAAATTTTTAACATAAATTAAAATATTTATATAAATTCGTTGTCGTCGAATATTGATACTTTTCGAGCGAGGTAATGAGCGTGGAAAATGATGTCTGGGTTCGCAGACTAGAAAGGGCCTTAAAAGGAATAAAAATCTACCCAATTGCTTACTTATAGTTATTACCCACATTTCCTAAAATAGATTTTCCTTTCTTTTCACTACCGGACTGCCTTGCGTGATTTGCTGGGTAATGAGGGTTATCCTTTCCGGGCTGATAATTTCAACAAATATAGAATAAAAATTATTCCGAATAAGGTGTGCGCAATACTAAATACACATCTACAAGTAACTGTTTTTATTGATTCTGTGTTATACTATTACGCACACCTTATTCGGAATAGCTTTTATTCTAAATCATAGGTTATTTTAATCGCTAAAGCGTTATTTATACTCCTAACGCTTTTCATGTCGCTACCCTTTGAAATAATGAAACCTACGATAGATGTAACCAAACGATAAGCTTGCGCCAACAGTTGACTGAAGACTATAATGTTAAAGGTTTCGCGATATAATTATCACGAAACAGCAAGCACATGCACTGGCCTGTAAGGGTGACCATTTGTAAGAGCTGGTCAATGGAACTAATAACAAAGTTGGAAGTTGTTCACGTGGAGAACGGACTTGACCGCGCCAATTTATATTTTGTCATAAACAATTCAAAATGCGTGGTTAAGGAGTCTCTATGCAGATTCTCTGAATTGTTACTGATGCACCTTTCGAACAACAGGGGCATTAAGCATTCAAATGTTTCGCTTGAGAACTGGAATTGAATGTATCTTTAAGGGAACATACCAAAAAGCAAAATCTAACTAGAATTTGTGTTTTATGTCTGGCAGTCGTTGTCATAGCAACAGAAAAGGTTCAAAATAGACGCTTTTTTAGTGCAAAAATAACGGGGGTTTTAAATAGAAAAAATCGCACTGTACGGAACTTATCATAAACTCTTCTATCGATAAAGCACCTATTATGTAATCATGCACCAATCTCGTGGAAACATCTCTGTTGCTATATAGAAACATTTGCTAGACGCACTGAGTACTTGATAGTTTTTGGTTCTTTAAAATTCCAAAAGATAAATTAAACGTTCGCACAAGCGAACTCACTCTCTCTCTCACTCTCTCTCGAAGCATCCTCGTTCCCAGGTTTTCCGCGTACTGCGTGTGCCGGAACGAGGATGGAGGTCACTGGATCGAACCCCACTTCATATATTCTTATGATGTGCATTTTTTTGTATTGCCGAAATTATGAACAATAATTATCTAGTCATCTGCAGGTGTTCATGAGGAGGAATGAGAGTTTGTTTGGGTGAATATGGGATCATTTTCCTTTGCCTTTCTTTCCCTTCTTCTTCTTGTTCGTGTTACTAGCAGAAGACTGGGAACCGGACGAGTCCCCTTGTTGAGATTTGTTTTGTCTACTCTTTAACTTTGGAATCGTTTCACCAAGAAAAATAAATAACTGATTTTCTAAATCAAACAAGATACCCTTGAATTAGAGCTAGGTCGCTCAGACTATTATTCAGTGCCTTTTGGAATACTATATCTATATAGATTGGTGTCCGTTTACGCGATTTTCCACTTTTGATAGATGTAAACGAGTGGGTAAGTTATTGATGTGGAAATCAAATAAGGGCCCTTATACGTCAACCGTCGTCAAAGCGATCATATTTATCCACTCGTATTAAATTTAAATTAAAACAAGACGCCGGCTTAGGCGTACACTCGTGCTCTAGGGATTGTGTTCTAGGGACTTAATAGCATTACTTGAGGGACACAATCATGGCGTGTTGTGGGAACCTATAGCGTAAGTTAAGGCTTTATGGTTACCCTGGCCTGGGAGGACTTACACGACAAAAATGTATCACACAAGTATAAAATAATACATTTACATTATTATCACAATTCACAAGTGCCGATTATAGGTAGCCTATAAACAATCCGCACGGCGTGACATATTACTGTTTCAATGCTTCTATTATATCCATATTGACTGCAAACTGCAGTGTTTTAGTTCCGACGAAAGCTTTCAAAAATCTAGTTGTAATAGTATTGATTCGCATTGTTCGTAATGTCAGTCGACGGTTCAAACATTTAGGTATTAATAAGTGTGATTTATAAGCATTTGTAGGTCTAAAACTGCGAAAACATCGATCATATATCTTGCTTTCATATAGGAATTTAAAAATATACATCGCACCAAGGAATATGCGTTAAATGTTGCACCGTAGTAATGTCTTCTGTGCAATATATTTTGCCGTATTGTTTGTAAAAGTGGCTTGTATTGTCGAATAATTACATTTCGTCATACATTACTGGGTCAAGTGCGCAATGCATTCTGGGTCATCGAGGTCCAAAACGCGACCGACACATGACGAAACCTAGACTCGTGCCCTCCTAGAGCACGAGTAATTAAAACTAAAGCCTGTTTTCCACTAGGCGAATTTATTCGCGCGAACAGATAAAAAGTAGGAAGCTATTTCAAATTTTCGCAGCGAATTTTTCAGATATCGCTTGTCGCGCGAATAAATTCGCCTAGTGGAAAACGGCTTTAAATCCATCAAAAGAAGAAAATCTCGTCTAAAATATTACGTCACAAAAGCAAACTATAATTATAAAAAAATGACGGCTGGGAGATGCTCTTACTTCTATTTTACAAAATAAGACTAAAGACCTTTGAAATAATTTTTTCCTTTGTTCCAGCAATTCTTTAGCGAGGCAAAACGTCCCATGCCTAACGGTACTGTATGTTATTTTAAAAAGACGAATTCGACGAACAGAAAAAATTTCAAGAGGCAAACAGCACGTTCAATCTGCCAACATGTCAATTGTGAAACTTTACATGCTGTAGTCAATGTAGACTCATATGTTACTATATGAAATGGTTGACATAAAATGGACATTGCATTAGTCATTTATATCGTCGTTTGTACTAAATAACTCAGCCACTAAATGCATTGTGTTTAAGGAATTTGCTGGAAAAATGTATACAGTTGAAATAATCCTGTTTATTCCATTTTGTAGATAGCCTGTTTAGTTTTATAACAAACATTTCAATTTTTTAGAAAGCGGTTTTTTCTAAGGGGACAAAAGTGTAAGAGCATATATTAAAACTTGATGTGTAAGAGAATGTCATTGCAACATTTCCGCATCCCTGACCATGACATTGGTCACCCCTAATTTTTAAATTTTCCGTATAAGAAACCCAGAATATTTGTGGGACGAAACCAAATTTTTAAAATGTTTTGAATGGCAAAATTTTTAATTTTTCCAATTTTATGTAGTATCTCTTTCCCTCCTTAAAGCTTAGAAATGGTGACTTCTTATTTCAATCCCATCTTGAAATTTTCCAGGGGATGACAAGGAATAGTAGCTAAGTGTTTCTTAGAAACAATAGGTTGGATGCCCCCTGAAGTTAATAGGTATTTCCCAATCAGATGAAGCCATTTCACATGTTGCCCCAGTAAAAGTGTAAAACTACAGCATAATGTGGCATAATAGTAGTGGCCAATTATGACGTTAATGCTAAATAGTTGGCTAATCAATTTCGCTGAATCGAAGTTTTTATGTTATCTGTATTTCAGGTATCGTCCTAATATAAAGCATAAATTGGTATCATTGCGTTCGATGAAGGAGAACGCTTCCTAGCCGTGTCATTTTGAGATTTGCGATGTCAGGTTTGCCTCGCTCTGATGTGTCGCCATAGTAACTGGAGAGCAAGTGCTCGCTTTATTTTGACATTTTTTTGTTAATCAAATCACTGCTGTTAAATTACTTATTTTGCGGGTAACCATTTGAATCACATACGCTGTGTGCCTGTGACGTTATAATGTTAACATTTTTGTTACTGATTGTTAACCGAAATCAACACATTTCGAACGCACATCACTATTCTGTGATTACTGCTGGTATACATAATGTCATATGCATTGCACTCTTCTCCTTAAGTGTAACCACCAATACTTTCCAATTTTGTGCATTGATTTCATCAAAGTGTGATTGCAATAAAGGTCATACAGTACTGTAAGTTTGAGAAATTTTCTCCCAACATGAAAGGATAATTTCACTTACTTGATATTAATGTTGGATTAACTGGCTTTCCATTTGAATCTTTTAGCTGGACTCTTACTCTTCCTTTGCATAAGGCATCTTTGGCACTGTCTCGAGGATACTGCTTATTCTGAGAACATACAAAAATACAATTGTTCAACAAAATCAAAGATTATGAAAAATTTCAAATACACCATGCCACTGTATTTATAATTCAATTCTTCCTATATAAAGTTTTAACTGAAAAAACATACCTCAACAGAGCAGTTGAAGCCTTTACTTTGGCAAACATCTCTTATCTCATTAACAGTAGGGTTCTCACAAGCCTAGAATTCCAGAAAAGTATTAAAAGATACCATTTATTACTCTGAAAGTACTGATTAGACTGGCCTGATTACTTTTAAAGAATCACACAATAATTTGAATCTACACCTTTTTTCTGGCAAACTATGCACTCGTTGATTTAACTCATGAAAGCATATTGGAAAATTTCAGGAAATATTTGATTTGATATTAGCTGTTTTCACAATTTGAAGACCTAATTGGAGTTGTGCCTCTGTATGTTAATAAATTTAAAACTTAAAGCAATATTAATATAGATTATTAATATAATAATAACATAGTTTTAAGAAATAATAATAAATATAAATTATAATATTATAGTTTTAGGAGATAATCAGAACCCCAAACTTTTTTCTTTTAACTTCTGAATGAATCATAGTCAAAATACTAAGTGGAATATATTTAGTCTGTATGGTAAAATATATTCACAATTTTGAACCCCTCCTCATTGCATGCATGGGAAATATAGACATCACATTAAGCCTACTATATCGCCCTTATGCCCACACTCCCTCCTCCTCTGCCCCTCTTTGCATACACTCCCTAGACACAGAACATACAAGAAAATAAAACATAACCATTTAAAATTGTCTCCTCCTACATATTGCATTGTCCTGCAATATTCATTGCCTGCTATTATTCTAGCTGTCCACCACATGTATGCTGATTAGCTTTCTGGCCAAGAAACATGATGAAATGATGAGTCTGCCATTGCCAATGAATTGCTGATTTGAGGGAGAGGGCACCTTGTGTTCTACTTCTACTGTATAATCCTTATACTGTGCTAATGTTGCTTCCTACCACCATGCTTGCTGGTAGAAAACAAGTTGGCAGCAATAAGTTTCTTTTCAGTGCCATTTTTTCATTTTTCAATTTAATTTTAATCAATAGCAAGCTAAGCCATTGCTCAGCTGCCAATTGAAAAGCAAAGCACCACCAGAACTTCCAAAAGATGGTAAGGTGGCAACTATGTGTCAAATATTTCACAAGACTTAATGATTTTCCAGTAACTATAAATCTTGTTTAAATGCCATTCACATACCTTATCTTTAGGTATTCTTCGACCTTCGGCAACTGTTTTCTTACTATTTATATATGATGGATACACTATTGACCATCTATTATATAAATGAAATATAGTCATTCAATTATTCAATGAACACGGTCCACGTACACTATATTAAAAAGCATAGTGACTCATCGCCTTTGCCGTAGAGGAAATATGAGAAAATGATCTCTTATGTTTGGAAATTGATATTTTCAGAAAATCGAGTTACCTTTCTATCTTTGAAGGATCGGTAGGTAGATGAGACATATTTTGATGGCGTTATATAAGCTTTTTAGAAAGAAAATACAAAACACGATCAGATGTTGATGACTCTTTATAGTATAAAGATTTTTTGATTATTGTACATGAAGTATTTCCTCTAGGCAAGTGTACTCAGTACTGCGTGCTCAGGAAAGGGCTTCACTGATCGAGATAGAGGGTGTGTGAGTCTCGGACTCTGGGTAGTGTATCAGTGCACAGTTGTCAATGTCAGTCATCAGGCCGGTTTCCAGTCAGGAAAATTATCCTCCGGATCGTATCGAGCAGGAAAGTTTCTTATCCGCGTGTTGTCAACCAAAACGCATTGTTTTATACACAAAAGGAACCATACTATTTGATCGGGTCCGGAGGATAATTTTCCTGAGTTGAAAGAGAGTCACTGAAAATCGTAAAACCACTGAAAATAGTAGATTCTTTATAAATCCCTAAAATTGATGCAAACTAGGGCTAATCCCTGAGATCTCTAACATATTCCCTAAAAAAAATTTTCAAGCGTCCTACAAAAAATATCCCTAAAATCTCTGACCAGTATATTTTCATTTCGTTTTGATTGGTTCTCCAAATAGGAGGCACTACTTTCTAAGCGTTTGTGGCCTTTAGTTTTGATGTTAAATTTATACTGACCGACTAACTAACTGACGGTTATTGTTTAACCCTCACTATACACTGGTTACGCGGCAAATTTAAAATTCACAGAAGTATCTTATTCACAATAAGCTATTTGCAGCCTTTAGTTTTGATACTAAATTTATACTGACCGACTAACTAACTGACGGTTACTGTTTAACCGTCACTATACACCTTATTCACAACAACGGCCGTAGCATCATATCTCCCTTCTTCTAGCGAGAGTAACTGCGTCCAAGTATTCGACAAAAAGCTGTAACAATCTACTCCGTTTGCTCCACCAGTCTCACCACCGATGACAACAAGTGTGTTTCCATGCAAGACAGCTGAACAACAAGCTCGCGTTGATGCCATCACTAAAAGAAGCTTACTCTTGCCAGTGTTGAGATTATATTCAATTATTCCACTGTCGTATTCTGCTTCCTCGTTGAAACCACCAATCAACAGCATACTTTCATCACGACGGACCGTCGCCATGCCGTAAACAGGAGATGATAATGGTGGCATTTTAATACATTGATTCCTTGTTATGTCGAATATTTCCACGTCAGTTTTGGTTCGCCTCCCACCAGCAATGAGAACTTTGTCGTCGAATAATTCTACTCCATGGACAGACCGCCCCTTCTTCATGTGGCAAAGTAGCCTGCGTTGCCAGCCGGCTAAACACGGTTATATCCGTCTGCGCATTAGCGAACAAATTCATGTTCCAGTACCAGGAAATGAGTACTGACTCCTGATTGGCTCGCTTTTGTGATAGTTATAACATCGTTTCTGATTGGTTATGGAAATTACACGGGCTGGCACCCTAAAAATCAAAATGGCTACATTTCCGGAGCGTGCTTGGAAAGAAGCCTTTTTATCTGTTCAGAAACAATTCCTCATCGATCACCTCCTACCAGAACAAGTATCTGCAGTTAAAGCTTTTATTGAAAAGGGAAATGTCTTTGTAAATTTGCCGACGGGGTATGGTAAATCGTTAATATTTCAATGCATTCCTATCGTGTATGATATTCTGTACTCGAGGCCTCGTGGCACTAGTGTAGTTGTTGTTATTTCGCCATTGAAAGCTCTAATGAAAGATCAAGTAGAATACTTAGCAACTTTTGGTGTTCCTGCCATTGCTATTGGGATGAATACGATGAAGAAACAATACAACAGGTCAAAAACGGGTATTTTTGATCGTGTATTGCTCTCCTGAATGTTTGTTGTCAACGAGTACTTGGAGGGAGATTTTCAACGATGCTGATTTCCGTGAAAAACTGGTTGGTGTAGCTATCGACGAGGCTCATTGTATTACTGAGTGGTACGTTATGTGAATGCTTTATAATTATATTAAAATATCTATTTATACTCGCCAGGCACATAGTCTTACATAGCTACACGTTAGCTAATGCATGCGAGGACGATCTTACCAGTCACCCCATGTGTCATAAAATTATTTGGCATAGTAAGACTATTAAATTTGGACAAATAACAATTTATTGATTACAACAGATAGTATACCATTTCTGCTCAATATGAAAGAATACTATTTGAGATTACGGACAAGTCGTTAAAAGTGTGTGTGTGTGTGTGTGTGTGTGTGTGTGTGTGTGGGTGGCTGATTCAACTATGTATTTATGAATATTTATCATCACTCCTTTTCCATTTTAGGGGTTTGTCAAATTCAAGCAAATGCCCATTCCGAAAGTGGTATGGTTGTCTAGGTGAACTCAGATCACTTATTCCACAAGAATGCAAAATAATGGTTCTAACAGCAACTGCATCAAAACTTACTACAGAGAAAATTTTGGATGCAGTTATATATCTCGATACAATTATGATACAGCAGAGTCCAGATAAAGTGAACATTTCATACACGAGACAATACCTTGATAAAATTACCCCATTGAAAGCAATTTGGTGCACTTCTTGGAGAATGTCAAAGGCTTGGAATAAATACACCCAGAACTATAATATACTGTCAAACACGGAAACAATTGTGCAATACTATTTCGTTTGTTTGAAGTGTGTCTTGAAGAAAAACTTTATCATGGTAGCAAAGATTATCGAAATCGTGTTGTTGACATGTACCATGCAGGCACACCAGAATCTGTAAAGGAACATGTTTCTGAGCAAATGTCAAATGAAAATGGTGTGATTCGTGTACTAATATCATCAATTGCTTTTGGGATGGGTGTCAATTGTAAGCAGGTAAGAAGAGTTGTGCATTTTGGACCCTCCAAAAGTATAGAATCGTATATTCAAGAGTGTGGTCGAGCTGGTCGAGATGGAGTTCAAAGCACATGCATGCTTCTATATAATGGCCTACTCTCTGTGCACTGTGATAATGACATGAAACATTATTTAAATCACGAAGGATGTTTGAGGGAAAAGCTATTGATTCATTTTGGGTACAAGGTGGACCACAAAAACTTTCAGTTTCTGCACAACTGCTGTAGTAACTGCCAGCAAAGTTGTTTGTGTGGCACATCCTCTTGCAGGAAACTTTGGAGTCCACAACTTGAGCAAGAATGTGACCTTGATTTATATACTACTGATGAACAGGAGAAAAGCAAGTTGACAAGAGTTGTGACCAAGAAAGACAAAAAACTATTGAAGGAAAAGCTTATCAATTATCAGAGAGAGATGCTAAAAGAATACAACATTAAAAATATGGTGACATGTCCAAATATGTTACTAGAATTTAACATGTTTCATATTAATCAAGTACTTGGTAGTTGCCATTCTCTATTTACTTTGAATGATGTTTTAAAATCTGTTGAAATATGGCGACATAAGTATGCTGTTGAAATCTTAAGAATTATACAGGATATTTTTGGTGACATGGAAATAGAAATACCTGATGATTTAGAAGACTCAGATGAAGAGGAAACTCTTACTACAGAATGGGAGGCTTTGAGAAATGATTCATCATGTTTGGAAATTGTAAATAGCCAAGATCTGGTTGCTATTGAATCCACCATGGACACTGATACTTCTTACAATAATATTTCAATATGACTTTGTTGACAATATATGTATTTTGAACAGTTATTAACAATATGAATATAATTATTTACAAAATATACAAGTAGCAATTTTTTAAGATCCCAAACCCATTAATTAAAAACTAAACATTATTTACACTTCATCTCGCTTTTCTGTTCAAAATCATGAATTTTTTATGATTGTTTATCCATGTAAACATTTTATGCATATCAAAGCCACTCAACAAACTTGGCTTAACATGTTTAAAAACACTGTATCTCCGTCCTGGTGTGCATGTGAAGGCATTATTAACTACTAATTCATTGACAATTTTCTTTAGATCCCCTTGAGTTGAGGTCTTAACATGTCTTCCTGCTCTTTTGAAAACTGATAAGTTGGTGTCAAAAGTCTTCATCAAAGATGAGGTTACCCCCAGTGAGTGACAGATTCTATCCAGGGATTTATCTGACGCACCTGCTCCTTGATTTTTTATAGCCTCTTTTACCAACTTGTTTAAAAATTCCAACTGCAGGTCTAATGGAATATTTCCACTGATTCCAGGTTTGCTTTTGGTAAAGCGGTTCCAAATTAGATGATGTGTACACTTGGGGCTCAATAAAGCATTTATCTGAAACATCAAATACAGTGCTTCCAGTGAATACTTGGCTGACCCTCCTTGATGTTTTAAGTACATTAAAAAAAATTTCCAACACCGAACAACTCTCTGACCATCCCCTTCTGATATTGCGTCGAAAAAGTTCAACACGAGCATGCCATAGTCACGAGTGATCTCTGGTATGACAACATATCATCATCCTCATGAACAGATGTTGCTTCTAGAATGTGTGCATTAGAGTCTCGCAATGACACAGGTGGATTGTGTTTAGCTTCGTGGTCTGTTCTTAACTTTCCAGCATGAGCAAATGTTTTTGTACAGCCAGGAGCCCGGCAAGGGAACCTGCCATGGATATCTGTTTGTAGATCTTCTTGGATTGAATTAACTGACTCTTCAACATCACTGTTACGCCTTTGATCAATAACAAATTCATCAATGACAAGTGATGAAATGTTATTCAAGTAGGATTTTCTCTCTTGTAAACTTGCACTTGCAGTTGTTGAAAACTTGTGTTTGCTTGGCTCTTCATCAATCTTCTGCATTCCTAAAAGATGCATAGCTGCAGCAATGATTCGAGCTTCCACTTCAATGACAAAAAATCTTCTACAAGCATTGGCTGCTGCAGTCACATCTTGCTTTACATTTCGCCTATTCACCAGGTTTCTGTCGCTAAACATGGTACACTTATCGCCAGCTGATGCAACATTGTATAGTTGAGAGAAAGCCACCTAATAAAACAGAATTTGGCATGGTACACTGTAATGATGTAAGATATTTTCATTTAAATACAATTATGGTAACCTTGTTCTGGACTCAATGAAAGTGTATTATATGCTTTAATTTTACCACAAAGTCGTTTACCTCCAAAAATTTGTTCCCAGCATGCCAATCTGCAATCTCAAAGTGCAAGCCTTCAATTCTTTCATCTGGCGTAAATCCATTTGCAACTGAGCTAAGCCCATTCACCCCACGCTCAACACTTAATTGGTCACCAACGACCCCTTGTCCAGCATATTGCTTATCTTTGTCTTCACCATAACATGGAACATACTTTTGAAGAGACTTCAGGATAGCTAGTATTCCGTCTGAGTCATTTTCATTATCATGCAACATACCAAGAAATGTCTATTAAAAAAATAAGTAAATATAAGCAGTCTCATGGTGTTGGCTTCTGTTTAGGGCAGATAATTTATCTATTTTCATATTTATCATAATTGGCTAAACTGCAGAATACCCTTTCACTAGTCACAGCCGCTACTCATAGCCACCACAATGCTGGCTACTGGCTACAGGTTTAATTAAGATATTTGAGAACGAGGTTATACAATAATGATGTAATGTTAAATGTATAGCAGCTATAAATTATTATTTCACTGGCTACTGGCTACAGGTTTAATTAAGATATATCAACTATCAGCTTAATTAAACCTGTAGCCAGTAGCCAGTGAAAAAAATAGACCTACATTTAGCATTACATCATCATTGTAATGCCTCGTTCTCGAATATCTTAATTAAACCAGGTGTAGCCATGTAGCCAGGTATTTAATGATTATTAAATATCAGTACTCATAGCCAGTAGCCGCTTTCTTCAAACACAGCTTCAAAAATGACAAGGTATTCGACTACAATTGCTTCGTCATAATTTATCATATATTCAATAAAATTAATAATAACTTGCAAGTGTGTTTTTCCATAACTTACCAAATCTGATTTCATACACATTTCTTTTGTGTACATATGGGGAATATGATGAACAGCAGCATCTGATAAGAATTCCAAACTTTTTATATTGGTAGAAATAACACGTCCCACCAGAGCAATATAGTTATCACGTTGCTTTTGATTATCACGACAAGATGGGAGACATTTACCATTCTGAAGTTTAAGAATCCCATCCTTAGGCTGCTCTTCACCAAGGTGATTCCCTGAAACACGGTTTTCAATTGCCATTACTGTTACACAGTGCTTGTCTACATTTTGGTGGTCCTCTGTCATACGGTGAACCTCTTGGTGATAGTCAATGTTGTCAAACACAAGTTTTCTTCCAACATCTTGAGTAAAACACCTGTTATTCTGTTGACCATGTGCATCTGGGTTTATTTGGGCTGCTCGTTGTTCCATAAACTCCCCTTGTTCTTTCACCGAATGTAAGATGTCCTTGTTGTAATCTTTTCCAAACTCGTCCAACTTCTTATATACATAAGTATGACTGGTTGTGATTTTCAGTGGACATAGCCGGGCAAGTGTATTCTAAAATTCATAAATTAGATATTACTTGAAATATCCCTTTTAATGCATTGAGGTTAATAATTAACCATCCTATGCACATTATGATGAGAAAAAACATGTGACCAAAATCAACTCCCGCCCCTCCCCCACCCTTACATCCGGTAAAGCTATAGAGCTTTGATAGAGCAACAAAGGATACTTTGTGTGAGTTGCATTATTTGTTAGCACTTACCATCCAGTTAGAATGATAAAGAAATATGGTCAACAAAAGCTGAACGGCAGTCATATATCTTGACCTGTTCTTTAAACATATCGAAGCTGCCATTGCTACAGCTGCAAAATCTGGTTTATCTTTGGTTGATTTACTTCTCTTGTTAATACTTGCTGCTGCAAGAACAGAATGAAAAAGTGGTGCTCTGTCTTTTATCTCATTTGACAGATTTTCCATGGAAAATGACAGCATGCTTTGCTTGTCTGTTGCTCTGAGACAGGATGGGGTTTTCTTTGAACAAAGTTTAGTCACCTCATTTTCAATTTCTTTCACCATTAGTTGCTTAAGTTCTCTTTTTAGATCAGAGCTTTTCCACGCCGCATTAGCTATTTGTTTGTATGTACCCCTTAACAGCATCTTGCCAAGTGACTCAAGTTCAGAGGGGAGTTTTCGCTCAGCAGTTTTGGACGGCCAGTTTATCTTTACAGTCACATCGACTTCTCCCTTTTTTTGCTGAAAAACTACGGGCGAGGCAGGAATTTCGAGACGAGTATTTAACCCAGAATTTGGCGTGTTTTCTTTTACTGGTGTGGGCATGTTGTGGGCACAAATATACGCTGTCGTTTCGTCGGGGAGGCTTCGCCAGCAACTTGAGATTTGTTATCCTCACTTCGTCTCTTCGTTTCGGACGGTGTCTCGTCGATCTTGCAGGCATTTTGAATAGCCTTATCGATTTCAGACAACTGTTCTTTCAAACTTTTGCGTTTTTTCAGTTTCGCGAGACAATGCTTACAAATATACTTCACAGAACTTTTCACCGGGACAGTGAAAGGGAGATTTCTTAACGCTTCTTTCACATCGAATTTTCCTTTTCCTTCTATAAAATATCTTTCCGTGTGTTTAACTATATCTTTAATACACATGAATAATTCATGAATAAGTAGTCTTTTACAGTCTTTTACCAATATGGTTCTATTCTTCCTGAAGCCTGCGGGCAGGCTGATATTGTTTACTGCTTCAGTAACCAATCAGAAACGATGTTATAACTATCACAAAAGCGAGCCAATCAGGAGTCAGTACTCATTTCCTGGTACTGGAACATGAATTTGTTCGCTAATGCGCAGACGGATATAACCGTGTTTAGCCGGCTGGCAACGCAGGCTAGTGGCAAAGCAACTTGGATGAATAAGGAGGCACAAGAAGCAACTCGTATATTGTATCCAAGATCACGTTTCCACCACCGCTTCCGCCAATAATCAACAAACGATTCTCGTAAACGACGCATTTATGAACAGCAACTTTAACAGGAAGGTTGACGGGGAACGGCTTCCACTCTGACGAATTACCATTCAAATCCAGAACTTCTATACTATCTGTAGTATTATCAAGAGTGTGCGTAATGAACCCACCGCAAACAAGTAGTTGGTTCTCGAATATAACAGCAGCATGACCATATCTTGCTATTTTCAACTCTGGTAGCGGGGTCCAGGCCTGGGTGAACTGATTAAATCGCTCGACGGTAGAAAGAGGCTTCTTGGTCACGGGTTGTCGACCCGCAACGACGACAAAATTGCAAAACATAGGGACCGTCGCGCAGCTTTCTTTTCGATACGACTTTTCGAGCTTTTCCATTGTGGCGGTCATTCGTTTCATGCCTTCTCTCATTTCGCTCATCATTTCATTTTGCGCGGCTTTCACTTCTGCCAGCTCTTTCTTCATTTCATCGAAATCACGACGTAACACACAGCCGTGTGCCCGGTACTTGTGATGAGCCATTTGCTTGCCACATTCCATGCAAGTTGTTGATTTGTAATGGCATAACTCGTTCTCGTGTTGGTCGACATCTCGCTTGTTGACTACGTCATTGCATCCTTTGTTCGAGCAAGAAACAGGTGTAAAACCGCAGTCCCGAACGTGTGCTTGTAGAGCTCCGATCTCGATGATTGCCGTACAACCTCGCTCTGCGTGGTCACAAGTGAGCTTATAACGCGAGACACAGTCTTCCACAATTCTCGGTGCTTTTCTCAGCGTTTCTACGGTGAGTTTGTCTTGACAGACCGGACAAGTGTGCGAGGTCTTCTCTAGATGTTCTTTGATGCATCCGGAACAAAAATAATGTTCGTTGCTTTCACATTGTACCGGATCTTTTAAAACACAAAGACAAATCGAGCAAAGAAATCCTTCGTCAAAGGTCGATTTGAAACGATCTGTGTCGTAACCACAAGCCATATTTTTCTTCAGATGTCACATCACAAAATACAGCCTCGTCTTGTTGTTTAGCTAATTTTCAAAGCAAAACTTTCCACGTCTTTCTTCCCAAACAGAAAATAGAAACGATACTAAAACGCTCACAGGATGTGTACTGTATATAGTCCTTCCAGGAACATTCACATTAGTCCGAAATACGTCTCGTGACTTGAGGTCGTAACCTCTAGGGCTGCGACCGGATAGCCGCTCCTGTGGTAAAATTTTGTCCTCCTCTGATAATTATTTTAAGAAGAAGTGAATCATTGTTATGCCGTCAATATAAAAAAAAATCATCTTGCTCATCTAAATTGTCCATCATCATTATTCATTAATGCCACAGAATTCTGCAACAGAATGTTCTGCAGTAACTTTGTCTCGACCCCCATTGAATGCCCAAATTTTTGTTGGCCCCCTTCCTGAAAATCCTGGATACTCCTCTGGTCGAGCCCACGATAACTTACCAACAGTAAGCAAAACAATGCTTTCTGCAGAAGTCAAATTATGGCCTAAGGTTAAAGGAAATCGTAAGGAATTTGGGTACATAATTTAGGGAATTCTGAAAGGTAAGAGCCTGGCAGCCTGTATGTCCTCAGTTCAAAGATGTGCTGAATTATTTGTATAGAGCTAATAAATTTTTATTTTCACAACAAGTGTTTGATCATGAACCTCATGATAACAAGTATTTATTCATAAAATTTCAGAGAACATATTGTATGATTTTAGTATATATAAGGTACTCCCTTTGCACCTATATTGCAAATTGAAGAAGTATGTCGGATGAATTTATTGGTACAGATGTAACTAAAACTTCAGGGGACCAGAGCTCCCAGAGGGTGAATTCAAGATTTGGATTGGTAGCTCTTGGTGTTACGGGTACTATTGTTGCTGGTCTTTTTGTTGGTACATTACCATTCCTAACTCCTGCACTCCGACGGATATGTCTTCCCTATGTTCCTGCAACCAACACCCAGATCCAAAATATTCTCCAAATGTGCAAGGGAAGGTCAGGACTCTTAGTTGATCTTGGCAGTGGTGATGGAAGAGTGGTAAGGGAAGAGCTGCCATCAATTGCGCAGAGCATGTTTTCATTGTTTTGAGTTTCCAGCAATACAATATGATCCCCACCACGTGCTTTCAAATCATTACAGTGTATGCCTGTATGGGATGCTGAAATGAAACACTTTATCCTGCAATACTTGACATTAATGATATTGCTAGTATGAAATTAAACATAAAAGCATTAAGTATACTAATTTTTCCATCAATAGTATTAGCCTTCTTTCACCCTAAACATGGCTGTCAATCACCTTTCCTTTTTCATCATGGTAATGTCAAAGATTTTCACAATGTAGGTGATGGCAGCTGCACAAGCTGGATATCAATCAGTAGGATATGAACTGAATCTTTGGTTGGTGTTATATTCCAAATTAATGGCTAGACTCAGAGGACTTCACCATAAAGCATCATTTTTCAGAGCAGATCTTTGGAAGGTTGGTTATAGGGGTTACCCCAAACGCACTTCATATTTAATTGGTTCTAAGGGTGCACTAATATAGCATGTGGCTAGCTAGTCTGCTGGTGTCTTGAGGTTTTCTCAAATGACAGGCATGAAATTTCATTTTGAAATTTCAAGTGTTTTTCATTTTTCTGTTTCAATCATTTATGACTAATGCTTGCATTGCAACATGCTCAAATGTACATGCTGCCATCTTTTACATATATAGTCAATGAGTGTATTCTCATTTATTCCAGACAAATCTAAAAGATTTTGATACTATTGTTATTTTTGGAGTTGATGAAATGGTAAGTAAAAAACAAGTGGCTAACTTGAAAAATAAATTGCTTAATTAGACAGTCATACTGTTATTTCAAGCTATCTGATGAGGGCCCGGGCTAAAAGACCAAAGCCAAACGAAAACTTTGCACTATTAAGTACTTATGTGCACCATGGAAAATTACAAGAATATATTTACAATATTCAAATACAAAATGAGCGCAATAACCACCAGGTACCTTTCTTGTCTATAATTTCCTATTCCATATGCATATTTGCGAACATCCTTTAGATGCCCAAGCTACAAGAAAAATTTTCTGATGAAATGAAGTGTGATGCAAAAGTATTGGCATGTCGTTTTCCATTGCCTGACTGGCAACCTGAAGCTGTTATTTGTGCTGGAATTGACACCGTATGGCGCTACAGGAAGCGCTCTGCAAAACATTGAAATAAGTGTTTAGAGAAAATTTGATGAAACTAACATTCTATTACAATAATCTTCCAAAAAAATGAAGGCACTGACTGTGGGTACCGTATACCGATGGCAGACCGCCGAGTTCAATTTTTCGTGGAACGCACCTGCCACCAGTCGTCTATCTGCTCGTATGGAATCATTTTGTACACTACAGTATAAGAAAGTTCACCACATTTTGTTTCACTTTTTAAGACAAATCAAATTAATCAATAGAAAGGCATCCTGTGCTTCGGTCCAGTGAGCTACAGAGCTCACTGCTTCGGTCAGCAATCACTATTATACGCTATATGTTGACGAGTGAAGTTCACTATACTGAAGTTCAATAAGGGGTATTGCCTGGCACTTGGAATCTATGCGCACTCCTCATGCTACTACGTCCGAACAACGGTTAATCAGTACGATCTTAAAATATAAACCTACACTCAGTGATGAGGTAAAATCAGTTGTAAAACCATTTGTCGAAAAAAAGCGTGCGACACGTTAACCTTATGCAACAAGGTTTTTTTTCTTATTGTATGCTTTACATTCCTCCTATTTATTGCCTGGTTCACATTAATCGCAATTCATCGACGATGTCCATTTACAATGATCAATCATTAAGAGAGAAAATTTCTGCACTGACCACAGACGATGGACCGTTGAAAACTCCGAGTAATGCTAACCAACTACCAAGTTTAGCACTAAGTTTACAATGATGGTTTAAAAAATGCACGTCGCAAAACGACTCGTAAATATGTGTAGTATAATGAAACGTTCAAAATGTCTTATGTTATCATTCTAATTCAATATTGTCAGTAAAACAGATGATTCCATATATGGTAGCCTTTTCTTCACTGTTGTAAAATTCCGTCCTTTAAATATCGTTTTTCAAAGACTAACCAAACGGTGGCAATTCACCTTTCCCCGCATGCATATTTCGCCGTTGATTAACCAACACAGCATTTGTAGTTCATGAAATACTCATGCACAGTACTGCTTTTTATAAACCGTAGACAGACCAGTATAGACATATGTATACTGCTAAGGTAAGGTACAGTGTGTTGTCATACGGCGCTATAAGCTGCACGCGTCACCCAAACGCCGTATAACAGCCTGCTACTTCCTTCGTTGATTCACAATCCATTCTAAACCCGAGTACAGTCTAGAAAATGAGACGAGAACAGAGCATTAAAAAATAGGCGATATACTGTTGAAGGAAGTAATGAAGTATATACATATGATAAATAGATCAGTGACTAGATTCAGAGCACTGCATGGGATTGGGTCTGGAAAATTGATCTCGAGTATACTGTATGTAGAACATAAATTTGCTTTGCAAGCATTTGCTTTACTCCTTTAGTCAGTTTGCTGGCTCGTGCATTACAAATTAATGGTCTACGAAACATCCATCACAAGTTGATTGGATTCTCTAAAATTGGATCAGTGAATACAATAGGGCTTATTCCTAAACCTAGTATCTTTTATAAACATGCAATGTAGCTACGTATATTTTTTACCCATGCATCCTTTGTAATAATGTAATAACACCTACCCTTCTCCGGTTAGCGCACAACATGCCTACAAAAGGGATAAATCAGAAATGCTGTCAAAGAATATTGCATGCCAAAGGAAAAAACACTTTAGGACCTGGGGACTAGAATTACAAAATCCTAGCTGTCCTAGCAATCCTTGGCTTTATGCTTATGCTTGTTTATTTATTTCAAGCTTAGCACTGGCTGTCACTCAATCACCATTTTTACTTTTAGACATACACGTTCCTCGCTGTTCTCATGATATAAACAAGCACATTCACGAAATCATAAAAGTAGAACGCCAACCAAAATTGGCCTATGTTCGATATATACTGTTCATACTGTTCCAAATCTCCTGACTATATTTTTATGACGGCACACAAACCTGTATATGCCAGCCATGGTCTTTTATCGATGTTAGATTTAGTTGCTGTGAAATCTCTGCCGATGTCATTGAGCCCTGAAGCACAAATATGGCAGATTAAACTAATCTAAACTTACCCATGACCATGTGTTCAGGCTGGAGTTGCGGGGGGGGGGGGGGGTGTGAACTTAGAGTACATTCACCCACCAATGCCTTAGAACTGGGTGGATTTAGCACATAAAGAACACACCTTTAAGTCTTGTTTGTTCGCAAATAATAATACACTTGCATGTTTCAGTTGCTAAAAACAAGAAAAATATTTTGATTTTGTGAACCCCTAAAAAGCCATGAAACCAGAAATTATCGAAGGAGATAGGACTTACTTCATCCGCTAACATTCTATATATTTCTTCTTTTATCACAGCTAGTCTTTCCCTATCGGTACTATCTATTACTATAATTACAAACTGAAAAGGAAAAATACAGTCGATGTATAAAATACAATCCATGTATAAAATACTGGGCTCATAAATAAATACTGGGCTCATAAATAAATGGTCTCATACCATCAGAAATATATATACAGTGTATGTGAAGTGACATGAAGCTGAAAAGGCTTATAGCATTAAGCATTTGGTATGTAATTCCAGGCAATTTAGCTAAAAAAATGCATATTTTCTGAAACTCCCACAGGTGAAAATATATGCACAATCACACTTACTTCTGTATTAGCGTAATATGTATCCCACGAAGAGCGCAGGGCATCTTGCCCTCCAATATCCCACATTAGGAAATGCATGTTTTTCCAAACAATCTTTAATTGAACACATTAATAGGTATGATTAGAGCAAAATAATTGAGGCATACATTTAAGTTAGACCCTCATAGAAATTCGACACAGCTTCATATATGTACCTCTTCTACATTGCTTCCTATTGTTGGGGATGTGTGAACCACTTCATTCATTAAACTAAAAAAAAATATTCACGGTTGATAAAAAATTGTATCTTGAAAGGTTGATCTGTTGATGGTTTTAATTAAAGAAAGAAGCTGGAGGAACATGTGAGAACCTTAGTAAAGTGTGAGAACCTTAAAAATTAGTAAAATACAATTCATAGTTCTACAACAGCTTAATTAAATTACGTTGAATTGGTTCTTCCAGAAAACCAATGCTAATCATGCTTTCAACAAGCAGCACCTTCATCAAAGCCCTGCATCAAAATACAGGGCTCAAAATAACAACCGAAAAATCTCTGGTCAAAGTGACCGCTCAACCCAATTTTAGCTCGGTCAAAATCGCTTTTTTTCTTCTCACTAATTCACACAATTTTTGAAAATTGAGATGACGAATTCAAGAAGCATTTTTGGCCAGTAGTTGTCCGTTGACCGGCTGTTATTTTGAGCTCTGGAACACCAAGATATTTTTTCTCTCATTAGATCCTGTCACATTTCTCATGTTTCTTCAGGTACCGTACTTAGTTAGGTTCTTAGGTACTTACAATTGATAAAGTATTGTTGTCTTTCCAGCATTATCTAAACCAACTATAATAACTTTGTGTTCTAAACAGAAAACAATATGTCTTTTAATAAAACCTTTTTTAATGCTTACTAAGAATTAATAATAATCCAAGGTGCTAATAAGATTTGCAAGGGTGGAGAATAAGGAAATGTGTGCTGTTTATGTCTGATTTTTGTAAACAGCCTTTTTTACTTGAGAATTGTACTAAAAAGGAATGCAGTTAGTCTTTTTCACATGTAATACAGACTTATACATGAAAATTTAAAATAATTTTCATTTTTTCTATATTTTGCAACCAAACTTGCCAATTTTACCAACCAGTGCCGTAGCTAGAAGCCAAAATGAGGTGCATATTCAATACTAATATACTAGCTTATGCCTGACTGACTTACTAATAACTATTCCTAGTTTTAAATTTAGCCAGTTAGACAGAGGAATAATACATTTTATGCTTGATATACCGAGGTATAGAGCTAATAACACAAAGATAAAAAAACAAGTGCTTTACTTTACTATCAAATAAAATCATATGAAGTAAACCAAGTCTATCGTTTTTTTATCTTTGTATATGAAAACACAAGTTACTTAATCGTACAAGCTTGTAGCAAAATTAAATTTCGATGAGCAAAAAAAATTTTGATGAGGTGACTTGTGTTTACATCTTTGTGTTATGTCACTCTGCCACTCTATCCATAAGATTTTGTACGCAATATTTTCTGTTACAAGGATAGGTATATATATATATATATAATATATAATGATTGCTTTGTATCAATATTTAAATTAAAACATTTCCATGCCACCTGTATGATAAAACTAGAAATGAAAATAATTTGCAAATTAAAATAATCACCTGATTACAAGCTCTTTTTTACAAGCAGTGTATATAAGGGCTTTAGCTAAGGATTTTATCTACTCTTAAATACATACATTCCTGCACCTGACTCGTGTGAAATATATGTCTCATTGAAGAAAATCATGGTCAATTTCAAGGTTTTCAGAATTGCAATAGAATCAAATCAGGTTGAATCAATTTTTCTTCTGATAAATCATTTTCATACTTCATTAAGATTCTTTGATTTACAGCAGTTCATTATTACACCATGAAATTAGGTAACACACAGTTACCTTGCTATTAAGTAAGACAATTAACTTCATGCTAATGCTCAATGATTTCAATTAGGGAATGTTGCTATTAACCAAGACAAAGGGGACTATCCCTGGGTCCCAACGAAAGGAGCCATTTGCAGTGCAATAAAACTACCCTTTTTATTCAAAGATGGGCCCTTCATGTTACTATTCATACCCTCGGGTATAGAAGCCTTATTGAAGCAAAAAAATACCTATACAATAGGACTACATAATAGTGTTTATATAATGAATTAATGTGACATGCTTGTTGAACCATCGGCAAGGTTGATGATATATTTGAATACTGTAGTTTATAATAGTACCTAAGACTGTTATAAAGCCATATGAAATGACAGAAATGAAAGACAACAGGGTTTAGAAAGGCATGCCTCGCTTGACATCGATACAGACCTAAACCCGACTAACAAAGCGCGTGTATGGCCTTGTTTCAAGTCGAATTACAAAATATTTGAGTTCGGCATCATCGCCATTTATAAGTAGCAAATTTTTAATAGCCAGTTCGAAAAGAAAAAAGAGTTCAAATGAGAAACCGAGGATGAATAACACTTACCTTCAGAAGAGAAAATAAGACTGCATAACTTTGAAAACAAAAAGCCCATTTCACGAAGGGCTTGACTGATAAATCACAGGAGAATTGTAGCTTTATATTGTAGTCGAAGTTGTCATATGAAGTACATGCCAGCATTTGTCGATATTGTCTCGGATTTTAGTTCTTTGTGTCCCAATAAAACAGACAAGGCCCTCTTTAAATTATCCTTTACGCCAAAGATGGTTGATTTCCGTTCGTACAGCTGGGATGAATCTTTTCAGGATGCAAAATACAGCGACAAAACAATACTATAATTTTTCAATAACATATGCCCTTGCTTATCATACATCATCATCAATGACGTCGCGCCGGCCTCGGTTTAGGACCGAGCCGGAAGTTATTAAAGACCAATCCAGATTAATCGGCGAGATCAGGAAATCGCACTTGCATTAAAAATTTCTCAAGACAAGTCGTTTTAATTGGAACTCAGAACTCGTTTTAATTGAGTTGATATCGATTCGACTTTTTAACCTAAACCTTTCCGATCTTATCTGCATGTTCATTCTATTGTAAATTTTCGTTTGCTAGGCCCAATAGACCTTTTTCATAATGACGTCAAACGCGGAAAGTCTGATGTTACACAAAGTTTGATTGGCTCGACAGTTTTGTGGAGCCAATTAAATTTCGTGTAACATCAGACTTCCCGCGTTTGACGTCATTATAAGAAAGGTCTATTACAAGCAAAATTCGCTCATGGACTACAAGGTCGCAATTGATATTATTTCACCTTTTCGCAGGCATTATTAGCAAAGCTGCGCGATATTGCAAATCAAACTATCAAAGTAGGGACATCCGACATCACAAGGTACTGTGTACCCCCAAACTAGCCTCTTCCTATATACATGTATACACGCTTAATACCGCAGTGAACAGCTCATCAGTGTGGTCAATGTGTTTGGCATCACGACATCACCCACGCAGTCTTGTAAGAAAATGAGACTTATAACAACGGTAGGTGCAAAAAAACTAATGGATAAATTTGGTAGGTAAGAAAGGTATCATCAGTTCTTGTCAAACCAATTCGAGAATAAAAACCACCTGTCCCAATACACACGAGAAGGCAATGTTGATATGTCAAAACTGAGTCGATAAACTTCAAGGAGTTTTCCTAATCTAATTGGATGCTGAGGGCTGATGCTGTGGTTTAAAATTAACGGTAATGCGCAAACATTTTATCGTGGATCGATTATAATCAAATGGGTCATTGCAACCTCCCAAGGCAGACTTTTCCACCTACGCTGGTCCATTAAATTGCTTTAAAGAAGTAGTAGACTCTTCACCAAACATGACATACCAGGCTTACCAGCACATGAATCAACGCCTATGTTGTGCAGTTCACAATTAGAACAATAACTGACATTAGCAATGGCTACAAACTCCCGCTTGAAAATGTTCCCTATTAATCGCGAACAAACCGATTTTTTCAAATCACAATTAATTACATTTATAGCTACAGTATTTACTTTTATTAATAATATGATATCAGTGAAGTGTCACAATGATATCGCTCAGTGGAGTGTCATATTTCTGCAGCTGTGCATTGTACAAGTACATTTTTCTCCTTAGCTAAAATGTGTTTTATATCAGGCAATAAACAACACCAACGCGTGTGGTCAGCTCTCGATACGTTTAAAAAAGCCTCGTGCTTAAGTTTTAACTTTTAAACACAATCTCGTCAGTTATCAGAGCCCCAGCACACTGCTAACGTCAAAATTGGGACCAAATTAAATCAGAGCCCGCATTCCACAGTCAATTCAATCGAGGGATTAAAAGTGCCAATTAACGAACCTACTTAGATATTTCCAGTCAATTCGCTAGAACACGTGATATTTTGTATCTTACTAAAGTAAATTAGTCCAGTTTTAATGTTCCCATATTTCCATCTTACTCGAAACAAGTTGCTATAACATGTTATTATATGTTTTAAAGTTCATATTTATTACTCTACAACACATTACAATGAAGTTGATCAATGTATTTGCTTAAAAATGCTTGTTTTGGTATACTTTTTCCCAAATAGTTAGTCAGTCGTCGAAATGCAAGGCCATTGGCCAATTCAAACACAGAAAGTTGACTATGTTTTTGATGAGTTGATAAGTTGTATTGAAACACAATGACATCATTCACTATGTTCAATGTAATAGAGAAGTAATTACTGTATGTAACTACTTCTGAAGCTATATTTATTATATGTTCTATCAATTGACGTAAATTCATACACTATAGTCTATATGTATTGCTGTTATAAATATATATTTTTTGAAATGTTTATTGAAGTTCTACCCAAATCTTACAGGATTTCAGTAATTCTTATAGGTTAAGTAATTCTTATCAACTTTCACATCCAGGAATCAGTGTTGCTAATTGTAATTCTGTAAAAACCCCAAGTAAGCCCTCAAAATATCCCAAGACCTCCTAAAAAATCCCGATAATCCCTGTCCATAGCCCCCAGTCCTCTTCGCCATGTTACGCGCTATGGTTACGTTACGTACACGAAATATTTTCTATTTGAATCCAGTCCCTAACCGTCACCCTTTCCTAACCGCTAATCACAAAATCCGTAGAATAACGATATAACCAATCTGGCCTGTGACATAATATGAAGGCTTGGGGCGTCATGTTTAAGAAGCAAAACTCAACAAGAAATCAAATTATACACGGCTGAAAAACTTCAAAATAAGTACGATGAATAATGAAAAATTCCAAAACATGTGAAATTTGGGCAATTTCTAAATCACGGAGTTCCCCAATGTTATGAGCGGAAGCACAGAAGCTGCCGTGTAACCCTCTTTAATTAAAAGACAATATTTTGTCTGGTTCTAATTGAATATTACTTGGAAAAGCCCATTGCATGTATATCACATACATGGTATAACAATTATACAAAATATAACTAGCTATTAACTAATATACTAATATGCAGAAAGAACAACATTCTAACCTAAGGGCCTTTGCTTGAAGACTTATATATATTACATGGTTTTTAATTAAACTCAACATCAACATTTCAATGTTTTGAGTGTGGTATTGGAGTGACACAGTTCCTCAAGTCTCTTATGACAATGCTCCATTGCCTCAATATCCACGCTGTGGCCATATGCAAGTACGTTCAACATATAGCAATTATCTTTTGTACGAATCAATGTGGCCATGTTAGTCTCAATAACAAATGACAAAATATGAACAACTTTGACTTTAAAGTCTCTCATGGCAACTCCAATGTACGCGTCATCAGTGTGAAGAGGCTTGCGAATGTAGATATAACTCATTAAAATGTCCAACAAATCTGCAGAGAAGAGAATAAACGCACCAGCATTGAAAGGCGGCCATATTTTTTCAGGGAAATCTTCTTCGCTTACCTTCCATTTTCCATAACGAATAACATGTGCTTTATGGTATGTTCCCCCGCCATAAAATCGAGGGGGTGATCCCTGGGAAACGAGATAGTTTATAACGTTTGGTATGCGCACGTAAACATCATCGTCCGTTTTAAGAGTGTACCTCGTGCCCAGCAATGAAGCCCACAGCTGGCCCATGTACAATTTCACCATGTTGTTCCAATAATTATCATTAATGTCACCAATCAATATGTCATTGTGTGCTTTGGCTTCTTCAATGTTCTTTTTGTCATCCTCTCCTCCCGCCTTTCCAAGCACAAACACCAAAATCCACACCTTGTCTTTCAAATTGGGGTTATTCATGACGTTTGAATACTCGCATGTCTTTCTGTTTGCCCAGGTTTCGCGAATTTTCGCTCGGCGATGTCTGTATTCGTCGCCTTTTGCCCCAGAGTTGACAAGAATGACGAGATAAAAATCCATCCGCCCGCTGGCGCTCTGAATAGGTTGGTTTAATTTCCGGGTAGACGAATTTAAAATCTACATGGGGTTGACCGATTTCATCAGCAGGTGGCTTTCTTGAAGCAGGCTTGTTTCCACTGGTAGTATTGTACTTATTGTATGTATTGTTTGCGTCCAGAGGTATTATTCCAGTGGTTCGTTCATTTTGCGAAAGAACATACACATTCTCCCAGATGTATAGCACAAACAAAATTTGGAACCATACAAGTACAAAGATCACCCAGCATTTCTTTGTTCTACTGCGACAAGGATTACATATCCTCATTGGCATCTCAATTGCACGTTGCGGCTAAATAGGTAATAGATCAGTTCAGTTTAAATTAGTTGGATCGTTATCACCCAACCGTAATATTCAACTTCAACTTTAGCCAGCCCGACAATTTGAGTCATGCTATGCTAATATTTTGGTGTTTATTGACTGTGAAAGCAATGAATTTCTGAAATTTCCAAAAAAATGAATAATGATGACATAAAATTTCCATAGCATGACTAAATCGTCAGGCTGGCACCACTGTATATACAGGGTGTATCAAAAAAGAAGACCTTTAGAAATCAAACTATTGTTAGTATATAGGTAATAGTATTGAAATTTTCACACCAAATATAACTTTTTAATAGCTTTAATTCGACATACAGCCAAACGTCTGGCGTTAAGTATTTCAGCTCATAACTTAGAAAAACAATTTTGGCTTCAACCTAATATGGATGTTTTGTCAGGAGTTTGTCAGAAGTTAGCGTTCCAGTTTACCTACAGTTCAATGCCGCCCACTCATGGGTTGGTGCCACTGGTTTGTATCGACGTTAATTAAAAAGGCTGCGTGGGAGGATTACGTGATGTATCAAATATGGCTGACGGATGCTTCCACAACAGAGGATTAGGTAATGTATCAAATATAGCTGACGCATGCTTCCACAACAGAGTATTTAAGAGTGTCCACACACTAGTCAGTCCATAGTTCTTGCAGTAAATCGAAGTGAATACATTTAACACTTGTGGTGACAAAGATAAGCAAGATGGACAGAGACGCTCAAGAATACGAAGACCTAGCCAAACCACAATATAAATCTGGCTGTAATTTTATCAACGAAGTAAATATATTCCTAGGAGCCAGAGTGTTAGACATGGGTTGCGGTACAGGTAGTGTTACAAAACATATCGGCGACATCGCTGGCTCTGAAGGTCAAACGGTTGGAGTCGATCCCGATGCCGCAAGAATCAAAATTGCTGAGGAAAAATATAAGGAACAGGGCAATCTTCAATTTCACGTTGGCAACAGCGTGGATGGATTTCCACACGATAATGAGCCGTACTACGATTTTCATGTAAGCACGAATGCATTTCACTGGTTCCCGGACGAGCACAAAAGGTTATACATACAGAAAGCCCACCAATCGTTAAAACCCGGAGGAAAGCTGTCGATTTTGTGTACGAGACATGTTGGCCCGGTTTACACCGAAGCGTTCGAACGACTCAATTACCATCCCATGACTCAAGATGAATACGAAAAACTTTTTCAAGACGTAGGATTGTTTAGCAATGTCATTGTCAAACAAATGGATTATGTGGCACATTATGAGTCATACGAAGAATTTAAGCGTTGGGTCAAGGCGTCTACACATCACAACATCGACGATGTGGATCCAGCCGTTGCGAAACAAGCGATGGCTGATCGAGTTACATTTCACGACGATGGCAGGATTGACTCCAAAATGCAATGCGTTTCAATTACAGCTACTAAGTGAAAAGAACAGTCTTGTGTTTCAGACGCAATTTGTACTTCTTAGGCAATTATAATATGGATTTCAAACTTCATGTGCAATTGCATGTGTACTTTTATTTTATCTCATTAGCATCTATTAAATCACACTGCAAAGAATATACAGTGGGACACTTAAGCCCGGAAGCATTTTAAAAGATGTATCCCTACGCATACATTTTACCCATCATTCTCCCCCATTCTTTTGGGGTACTGCCGTCATGTTAGTGCATGTTACGCGCACGAAATATTTTATCTTTGAACTCCCAAACCGCCAAACTTCCTGACCCGTAAGTCTTCAGTGCATTTTAGCTACTAGCACTATAAATGCATATTATAATATATGACAGACACATTACAGTTTTGAAAGGCTTTTTGGCGCATAACTCGATCGAAATTAATCAATGAATAAATACTTTAGTAATTCAGTCCAATCTCCAAATCACAATATCGCAACTGCATCAACCGAGATGTTTATTGCCGTTACAAAATGTTTGATTGCCCTGCTAATTTTGCTATGCCAATTTGGGGGCCGGGGTGTCCCCCTTGAGCCTCAACCTATACCTTGATCCGCCACTGGTGGTTGACCAAGGGAAATAATAGGATTACTCCAAACGGAAACATGGCTCCATAACTGTGTTAAATGTAATACTTGCGCATTGTGATATGTAACTCTGTGAATGACCCTAACAAAGACAATAATACTGAAATAAATGCACTCTCACAAAAACAAGGAACTCGAATTTTGAGAATTGAGAATGCACTTGCGCCCCGTAAGTATCCTAATTTGTGCAGTAGGCAGAAAAAAGCAATTTTTTAGGGCCGTGAGGCATTGTGGTTGTGCGCAGTTCTATTGGCAACTCCAATATACGCGTCATCAGTGTGTACGGGCTTGCGAAGGTTGATATATCTCTTTAAAATGTCCAATAAATCTGCAGAGAAGAGAATAAACGGCACCGGCATTGAAAGGCGGCCATATTATTTCAGGGACATCTTTCTCGCTTACCTCCCACTTTCCATAACGAATAATGTAATTATGTTCCTCCGCCATAAAATCGAGGGGATGATCCCTGGGAAACGAGATAGTTTCTAATGTTTGGAGTGTATCTTGTGAGTCGTGCCACCGTTAATAGAAATTTCTATTAACTGTGGTCGTGCCCAGCAATGAAGCCCACAGCTGGCTCATGTAGAATTTCACCATGCAACCTCGCAAGCCAGAAAGAGCCTGGCTTACGAGGTTGTTTACCATGTTGCTCCAATAATTTCTCCGGCGTTAGCGACGGAGTTGAAAATTCGCCGTTTAACAAGATGATGTGGTCGTGTACGGGCGCGTTGACACGTCGTAGTTTGCAGAGGATTGAAGATTTAATATAACTATATAAGCGCGAATTCCAAAGACAAAGTGTAAGACAAAGCGAATATATCATGTGGTTTATTTACATTTTTGAACAATTGAACTTCTATACTTTTTAAAGTACGATGTGCTTCTGAATTTCGCGATCGAACAACATTTAAGTTCGCAAGGCATCTAAATGAATATGAACTGTATTGTTTATGTTCAGAAGCTTTATATTGAAGACTGGCAAGTGCACGGCACGCCGGAGTTAACGCCAGAACAGGCGTCTTGTTATCATTAATGTCACCAATAAATATGTCATTGTGCGTGGCTGCTTCAATGTTCCTTTTGTCACTCTCTCCCCCGCCTTTTCAAACACAAACACCAAAATCCACATTTTGTCTTTCAAATTGGGGTTATTCATGGCGTTTGAAAACTCGCATGTATTCCTGTTTGCCCAGGTTTCGCGAATTCTCGCTCGGCGATGTCTGAATTCTTCACCTTTTGCGCAGAGTTTACAAGAATGATGAGATAAAAATCCATCCGCCCCCACTGACATTTTGAAAGGTTGGTTTAATTTCCGGGTTGACGAATTTAAAATCTACACGGGGTTTGTCACGATATTATGATTGATGTATCCCGAGTTTACAATGTATCGTAATGAACAAACACGTTACAGGGTTGACCGCCGTTTATTTCATGAGCAGGTGGCTTTCTTGTTACTGTTAGTGATGATTTTCGCGTCCCGATAATTTTATTTCTTGCCTTATTGTAAGTATATGTATAGTATAAAGGAGATATGGATCCGGCGTTATGTCACATGCAGTCAGTGGTATTCTGTGCAGTATATGTGCCGGTGCTATCGGCGTTGCCACTAATTGCCACGTTTCAAAATATCTCGCTATTGTATTGACATTGCCATAGCCTAGCAGACTACTTTGTCATGTTAATCGTGCAAATGTTAAGTTATTATCATTATTCATTTCAATGGCCCGATTTATACATACTAGAGACGGATTCTATCAAATTTATTGTATTTTATTCTCGTCTTATTAGCTCTATACTTCGGTATATCGAGCACTCTGATCCTAAACTTAGATTTAAAATATCAAGGATGACATTCAGTATGGACGATAATTATATAGTTCGTATTCTGAGAATCGAAAATTAATGTATAAATTCAAATAAACTCAAAATATCCTCAAATAATGCTTAATGCATTGATCAAGAATGACTTGCAGAGAAAAATCTGTTGCATGGAAAGAAGCGAAGTTATTCCACATTTTGTACGTGAGATACCCGGCAGAATTTTCCTGAGTGGAAACTAGCCTTAACGGCCCTACGTGTATTCACTCGCAGCATTTCACTTATTAATTTGGTTAGTTTGGAACACGCACACAGCATCTTAGGACGCTATGTTACAAAAAATAACTTACTTACCTCAGCAGTGACGTTTTAAACATTTAAAGGCGGTTCTAAGCAATTCTTCGCAGTGATACTTTGCCTATAAAGTGTAATGCAAATTGCAAATTCATAAGTGCAAGCGCGTTGTACTATTGCTTGAGTCAGGATTCAACAGTGTTTCCACAAGGCACCTTGAAAATATCCTTGATTCAGCATTAAAATTTCTTTAAATTTCCTTGAAGCAAAATTTATTGATTTCCGCCTATTAATTTTTAATTGAACTAAACACAAAATACTTGATCTCACAATAATGGTGCCCTGAAAAACATGTATTAATTTTCATTTTTGCGTCTTTTTTGAGTTTTTCGAAGCTATCTCAAATATTCCTTAGATTTCCTTAGATTTTCTAAGATTTCCTTAGATTTCCTTGATTCTTTTTTTTTCCTTGAAACCGGTTTTTTAGCCAAAATTTCCTCAAAAAAGGAAATTTCCTTGAAAGTGGAAACCCTGGGATTCAAGGCAGGACTCGAACCAGGACTCGAGCCAGGACTCGAGTCAAGAACTCGAGTCAAGGACTCGAGTCAATCAACCCTTCTCACGCAATGCGACCAATTCGCCATATTTGGATGACATATAGTTGATTTTATAATAAATCATTTTATGAAATAAAAATTGGGGGTAACATAACTCGTAACCAACAGGTAATTGCTGTCTAAAATATCGGATGCAAATCGTTAATTTTCATTTCTGACCATGGCATGGGGAATAAAAACACATTGTGTTTCTATTATCCATTGTTTTAACTTTCAAATTTTTACGATTTAATGGTGCATGCACCGTAAATCGTAATGGTAAAAGAATTAGCCTTTCTAACGCTATGCGACCAATACAATGTTGCTGACTAACTAGAAGTTTTGCATAGTTCTGTTTTTGAATTCATTTAGCGATTTAAAAATTGTGGACTCAGGAAATGGTATCATAAAAAATCACATTTAACGAATTCGGAAAAATTCTAGTCTACTTAAAACCTGCCGCACACGAGAGCAACTAGCCGAGCTAATAATCACTCGTGTCTGTTGGCGTAAGCAAATTTTTCTCTTGTGCGGACAAATTTTAAGCGCTTTTGTTCATTCGTGGCACTTTATTTTGGCACGAATGAACAAAAGCGCTTAAAATTTGTCCGCACACGGGAAGAACCATTAAACTGGGAAGAACCCGCTTACGCCAACAGGCACGCGGGAAAGACGGCAATAGAAGTTTCCATCAGCCAGACGTAGATGGGTCATTAATTCGGAGCTTGTCGGCTCGAGTCCTTGGCTCGAGTCCTGACCTCGAGTTCTGACCTCGAGTCCTGACTCGAGTCCTGGCTCGAGTCCTGACTTGAATCCTGCCTCGATATTTAGGTACCCTCCTTATGCATAATGACGTATCAAGCTGTGACGCTTGCAGGGAATTTTGGTTTTAGTAATCACGGCGAAAAATTCAAACTTCAAAATTGTCTACTAAGACCGTGACTATTAAGACCAGAATTCCATGCAGGTGTCACTATAGCTATTGGCCGTGTCGTGAATCGTATACTCGCTAATACGAGTATGTCTTGGCAACGGTCATTAGTCGATGAAGAGATAAAATGGGAAGACCATATCAATAGCATCAGCAAAGTTTCAAACGGAATGGGAACTGAGATAAAATTAATCAAGTCTTGCGCTCTAAGAGGATCATTTACGCAGTAATTTTTGCTACGTTGATTAATTAGTTTTACTACCCTCCAACGGTGTTAAAACTTGAAATAATCTGCCAACTGACTTCAATAATCTTATGATTTCTAACAACGTTTTCAAAAATAAACTAAGGATAACAGTACTTTTCAATCTCTTCAATTAAAATTTCTAACCTTTATTATTTTATCTAATACTTATGTATATATATTTTAGTCAATTTAGATGTTGTAGTTTGTATATAGATTTTTACAACTGTTTTTTTTATATATATTTAAAAAATTATTGTTGATATTAGCTACCCTGCTGTCCGTGCATGTACATATAATTAACTATATTAGAATTACTTGATATTATCATTATACGGATAATATAATATAACCTGAGGGCCTTTGTAAGGATCGAGGCTTGTTTCTTAATAAATTAAATGTCAATTAATTTCAACATTTCAATGTTTTGAGTGTGGTATTGGAATGACACAGTTCCTCAAGTCTCTTGTGACAATGGTCCATCGCCTCAATATCCACGCTGTGGCCATATGCAAGCACGTTCAACATATAGCAATTATCTTTTGTACGAATCAATGTGGCCATGTGATGCTCAACAACAAATGACAAAATATGAACAACTTTGACTTTAAAGTCTCTCATGGCAACTCCAATGTATGCGTCATCAGTGTGAACGGGCTTGCGAATGTAGATATAACTCATTAAAATGTCCAACAAATCTGCAGAGAAGAGAATAAACGCACCAGGATTGAAAGGCGGCCATATTTTTTCAGGGACATCTTCCTCGCTTACCTTCCACTTTCCAAGACGAAAAACAGGTGAGCTATGGTATGTTCCCCCGCCATAAAATCGAGGGGGTGATCCCTGGGAAACGAGATAGTTTATAACGTTCGGTATGCGCACGTAAACATCATCGTCCGTTTTAAGAGTGTACCTCGTGCCCAGCAATGAAGCCCACAGCTGGCCCATGTACAATTTCACCATGTTGTTCCAATAATTATCAATAATGTCACCAATCAATATGTCATTGTGTGCTTTGGCTTCTTCAATGTTTTTTTTGTCATCCTCTCCTCCCGCCTTTCCAAGCACAAACACCAAAGTCCACATCTTGTCTTTCAAATTGGGGTTATTCATGGCGTTTGAATGCTCGCATGTATTCCTGTTTGCCCAGGTTTCGCGAATTCTCGCTCGGCGACGCCTGTGTTCGTCGCCTTTTGCCCCAGAGTTGACAACAACGATGAGATAAAAACCCATCGGCCGGCTGGCGTTCTGAAAGGTTGGTTTTACCTCCGGGTACACGAACTTGAAATCTACATAGGGTTGATCACCATTTACTTTATCTGGTGTTGGCTTTTTTGTCGGAGATGATTTTCGCTTTCCGTTAATCTTCATTGTTGGCAAGGAAAATCGCGAAGCAGGTTTGTTTCCATTGGTTTTGTACTCAGTATTGTAAGTATTGTTTTCATTCTGATATATTCTTTCAGTGGTTCGCTTAACTTCCGAAGGAAAATACATATTCTCCCACGTGTATAGCACAAACAAAATCTGGAAGCATATAATCAAAGAGATCACCCAGTATTTTGAGATTCTTCTGCGACAAGGATTACACAACATTTGCATCTGTTGCGCGTTTCGTTAATTCAGGTAAATAGATCAAAATTTTTTTAAAGGGGATCGTTATCTCGTACTGCCAGTAGTATTCTGTTAGAAGCGTTTTGAGTGACTTGCCACGTTTCCGATAAATGAAAACTAGGACCAAGGGTAGTGACGGCATTGATGAGCCGCCTTTGCGATACCTAGGTAACAAATGGATTTTTAACTTATGCTAATAAAAATTCAACTAAAGAAGAATCAGGATGAACAATAACCCCCAGCAAGGTTGGATTTTAAACATTGTATTTTCAGAAAAGATCTTTTTAATGTTTTTTTTTCTATATGTTCGGGCCACGTAACCTACAACATTACACGTTACCAGGCGAAGAATAAAAGAACACGTTAACGGTCGCTGGCTCTGTTGCATGGTAATAGGGCGATTTTTTCCAAGGCCAATTTGCAGATTCTTGGTTACTTCTATGAAATATATTTTCTTCAGGAATATTACCCATATTTCTTTCAAATGATCACATTTAAAAAAGATCTTAGCAGCACGTAATCCTCAAAAAGTCCTGCTTTTGGAAATAAGAAAATTTGGCACTTCAATTTTGCCAAATATTATGCACTTCAATATTATAAGAAAGTGGGGGGAGTTTTATATTTATTATAAATATTTACCGAAGGAAACACAAAAGAGGAACACTCTAAAAATGCTTACAATAGATGATAGCGTGATGTGTTATACGATATACATAAGTGGAAAAATTCTGACCAATTCACCACAGGTAATGACATAAAAAGCCGCGTGGGAGGAATGAGGATTATGGAATGCAATCAAATATGGCTGGCGCGTATGCTTGGACAACAACAGAGTATTGAGGATTGTCCACATGCTAGTTGTCCACATTGATTTGATCTATAAAATCAACAAAGATCAAACATTTTAGATTTTTTCAAAAGGCAGAATGGAAAGAGACGCTCAAGAATACGAAGACCTAGCCAAACCACAATATATATCTGGCTGTAATTTTGTCAACGAGGTAAATATATTCCCAGGAGCCAGAGTGCTTGACATGGGTTGCGGTACAGGTAGTGTTACAAAACATATCGGCGACATCGCTGGCTCTGAAGGTCAAACGGTTGGAGTCGATCCTGACGCCGCTAGAATCAAAATTGCTGAGGAAAAATATAAAGAACAGGGCAATCTTCAATTTCACGTTGGCAACAGCGTGGATGGATTTCCACACGATAATGAGCCGTACTACGATTTTCATGTAAGCACGAATGCATTTCACTGGTTCCCGGACGAGCACAAAAGGTTATACATACAGAAAGCCTACCAATCGTTAAAACCCGGAGGAAAGCTATCGATTTTGTGTAGGAGACATGCTGGCCCTGTTTACGCCGAAGAGTTCGAAAGATGCAACTACCATGCAATGACTCAAGACGAATACGAAAAGCTTTTTCAAGACGTAGGATTGTTTAGCAATGTTATTGTCAAACAAGCGGATTATGTGACACATTTTAAGTCATACGAAGCATTCAAGCGCTGGTTCAAGGCATCGGCACAACGCGATCTCGACGATGTGGATCCAGTTATTGCGAAAGAGGTCATCATCGATCGACTAACTTTTCACGACGATGGCGGGGTTGACAACAAATTGATACGCGTTTCCATTACAGCTAGAAAGTGAGAACAGAGTCTTACGGTGCACTAGACGCAAACCTAACCCTAACTCCCTAAGTTGTATTTCTTGGACAATTATAATATGGATTTCAAATTTAACGTGCAGTTGCATGCGTACTATAAATATTATTTCCTGTCATTAGGATCTAAATCACACAGTACAAAGAAAAACATTGTATCATATGCATGCATACACCACCCCCCCCCGTGATTTTTACGTGAAGCGTGAATGGTTGTTATTTTGGTCGTTATCGCAGGATTAAATTATTTTTCGGTGCGTGAAATCGTGAATTCAAATATTAGTGACAGCCGGGAATATTTAAACCTAAGCGGCGGATTTCGTGAATTCTTTTGCGAAATAGCGTGATTACGCGATCCAGGCTGCTCCAAAAATGGCTAGATCCCACAGAAAAGATCTCAAAAGCGTTTGTTGGGATGTTTCTGACTTGCTATTTATGTTTGTCATTTATTTTGTCGAATTCAATTAGGCATTGCTCTCTTTTAGCCTCAGCGTGAACGTGAAATTTGGACCTGTTTTGCGTGAGCGTGATGCGTTATTTTGGGCCGTGAATGCGTGATTTCGTATAGTTCTTTGTGGGCCCCAATACACACAAATCACATTACCCATCAATTTCCACCGTTAGCCTGGGCAGTCTGTGACATTTAATTTAGCTTCTAACCAAAACCAATGCGATGCATAGAAGAAATGCATCTGGCAACACGAGAATGCAACTCGTAGGTTGTGTGCTGTCTTAGTTTGAAACTTACACGTAGTATGGAAGATTGACATGTTGACACCCTTTCTTGGTTACGTAACGCATGTATATAAGTCTGTCAATCTAAAGTATCAGATGTCAGTAAATTGTGTAATTCAAACAGAGCGAGAACGCTAAAGAAGAGTGCAGTAAATTTACACGGACGAATTACAATTGTTTATTCAAGTTTGGTGTGTGTAACTAAAGTAAGTTATGCTTGTTGTAGAAGTTAGCTCGTTATTCTCTCGTCTGGTCTTCAATCGAACTTTTATAAGTTCGCGAACAAGTGTGCATGGTCCTTACTCGGAAACAGTTGGAAAAAAGTATCAAATATCGGTCCTAAAAACTAGGTTACCCATGGGTGGAAATACTGCCTGAAAGCACGAAATCAGTGTTCGGGTTGCCAATCTCGTTCCCACGGGAATTCTCTACGCAGGCTGTTTAGGAAATTCTCTAACCAAGGTCCTGCATGTCCTCATTTATAGTTGAATGACAGTTTAATTATTTCATTTAAACCCTGATCCCGGTATTTGCTATTTTGGTTGCTATTTACTTATGGAGTGGTTTAGATCTTTAGCCGTGCGGTGCCATAAAATTGAGCGTAGTGTAAACGGGGCTTTAATCCATAATCCCAGTGTCTGCTATTTTGGTTGTTAATGATATACCGTGTAATATATATAGGAATATATACACGTCCATGGAGTGTAAAAAACGCAAATTTACATATCTCAAAAGTGGAATTGTATTGTATTTTGTGTTAAAAATTGTACTGTGTAACAGGGCCTTAACACCCCGCAGACCGTGCTGCTGAAGAGATCCACGCGGGGCCACAGCTAGAAGCTTAATTTGGGGAGTGCATGCATATTCATGTATTCGTCTTAAGCTCGCGACTGTGTGTGAACGTTAGAAACGAAACAACATCAAAGACAAATTTAAACTCGATACCTGCTTTGGGCTGTATCATGCATAGCTGACATAAATAAACGAATTCGATAGGCACTTTACTACCCGTCCATCGCAAGCATGTAACTTGCAACTACATGATGCTTTTGAACAACTATAATTACTAATTATAGTATAAGTAATCATGCGATGGCAAGTACAATTCGAGATTAATAGTACAAGTTGGGTTTGAAAATTTTGCAAAAATTGGACGAGCTGCCAGGGCGAGTCTAGTTTGGCAAAATTTTCAAACATCAGGAGTACTATCCCTAATCAGTTGTACGAGCAGCATTGCAAGATTATTTGTTTATTATTTAGTAAAATCGTACAACTTTCTCACCGTTTCATCGCGAATTTTCTGGGCGTAATTCTCATTGCAAACACGATAGTTTCTTGTAAAAATACAGTCTTGCCAGACTTTCATGCATTATTTTGTAGCTATACTTTGGTAGTATTTTCCTAGTTAAATGATTCCCCAACATAATCCAATGTTTTCCATGTCGTTTCTTCGCAAGTGGAAATATAGCTGCATTAAGGCGGTTTCCACTAGTCTAGGCGGAATTTTTTGATCGAACGAAAGTGACTGGTGATTCGGTGAAGGGAATCCGCTACGGTCGAATTCTCATAATTGAAAAGAATATCAGACGAAAAATTTTGTTCGAACGAAAAATTCCGCCTACACAATTTTCCCCTTGATCAATTTCTTATCAATTGTGAGAATTCAACCGTAGTGAATTTCTCTGGCTTTTTGGTCATGCAAAATATTGCAGTGTATTTTGATCAAGAACTTAATAGTTAATTTAATTTATAGTTTATACAGAATGATGTTAGACACTTCAGTCTTTCGCATATATTTGACGACATTTTGTTGCTCGAAACAATCCCAGATGCACTGGGACCACTTTTGTTCAAAAGCAAAGTTGCATACTCACAGTACGTCTGGCGCGCGCCCACAGAGCGTGCGTCATGAGACCCAACAGAAGGAAAAATCAAATAATCGAATTCAAGGAATAATCAGATAATTATAGACGAAACGCCGATGAAATATTACGTGTTAACGTTCCACACAGTATCACCTCAGCCCTCTCTCACTTCTTTCACTTCAATTTTAGACGAGCAAATCAGCGCAATGGACATTATGAAAAAGATGTTTTCTGTACCACCAGAACGACCGCTGACCTATACTCAACGCTTCAACTTCGTAACTGCTTTAACCGCGTACGTTATTGGCGGACTGAGTATGACCTTCGCACCAAGTTTCTGGAACGCAGTTGTTAAAATGGATATCCCCACTGGTGACATGGGATATTTCATTCTGTTTGGGTCCGGTTTGGTAGGCATTGGATTGTACTATTTGGTTTTGTCGAGACATAAGTCAAGTCAACTTCCCAACCACGGACCATTGCTAGGAACCGTCCCTGGCCGCGTGCTGTTAGTTAACGTTGTTTTAATATGGTTTTACGCAAAGAAAATAATCAATGCTCGCTTTGCGCTCTTGATTGCCACACTCGACAGCGGACTTGGCATTCTCACTTATGTCATTTGGTCACGAGAAACTAAAGACGCCTCGTTCGAGAAATGTTACCAAGATATATTGTCTATCACAATCCCATCGTTTCAAAGGCCGCTGCGCTACACCATCTTCCAGGCTCTTGGATATGCTCAATTTATCATATTTCTACTGGCGCCTTCGTCCTTGATGAACAGCGGTATTGTCCCAGGTACCATACAAGGAAGTTACGTAGAGGGCATGTTGCGATCTTTTTTCTTTACCTTGTCATCTCACGGTGTCTTTCAAATTTTCGCCTCGGGATCCCAAAACGATTCCTTTCCTATGGCCGCAGTATGCTACCGTGTTATGTGGAATATTCCAGTCTATGTTTTTCTCTGGATCACTTCACAAATACCACAAGCATTCTCCAACCTTCTCATTATGTATGATGCCATGTTTATCATTATAACTATCGCTGTTTTTGCAACAGGGCATCGTGTCAAGACGAATTGAACGCAAACATGTTACTTTTTTAGTCTTTTTAGTTTACATTGTAAGACTTAACCCATACGCTCGGATAAATTTCTGAGGACAGGACTTCAGACTTGATGAACACATGTTGTAAAACGAGTTGAGACAAATCCAACAAACTGAATAAAATTTTTCTTTAAATGGCATCAAAACCAAGACAAGATTGGGTTTATATTTTAATTTTATTACAAATCAAAATTAGATGATGATTTCATGGTCAGAAACTCATTTTTGTCTTGTTTTGATTCTTTGGGTTTCACCGGATTATGTTTCATGCCATATTTTTTGCAATTGCCTGCTGGTGTTGGTTAGAATTTACTGGAGAACCCTCAAAGCATAGGCAAGTTGGTAATGATAATGAGTACACTGTTGGGTTCATGCATGACGGTGATCTATGCCTGTTCTTAATGCATGTGACTGGCTTAATTCAATGATAAGAGACAGCACACTAAATGCACCACCCACATGCATGAGACATCAGCCTGCTTGGTTCCTTTGAAAGTTACTAAATTCAACTGTCTGTCGGGTGACAATACATAAAGATTATCAAATCTATAATATTCTACTAAAACTATTCCAAGCTCTGGGATTCCATAGTGCATTCCATGTTAAGTATACAGTAATACACCGAAAATACACCAAATTTTACTATAAAATATAATATAATTTTGTAACTCCACGCCGAAGATCTTCAGCTTAGTTTACTTAAAATGCACCTGGGGCCGGTTGTTCAAAAGCAGGTTAAATTTAATCCTGGGTTAGTGCTAAACCTGGGTTAAAATCCTTAACTCTAGGTTAGCTAAACCTGGGTTAAAACTGTGTTGTTCAAAGCAGGGTTAGCGGTAGGGTTAGTTAACCGAGAGTTAAAATGTTTAACCTAAGATTAAATGTATTTTAAGGACTAAATTGGATATAAGAACGTTTTCGATTGGTCAATGAACGAGCGTCAAAACTTTACCCGACGAGGATAATTATATTGTCAGTCGAAAGATTATATGCCGTGAGAGCAGGGTCGAAGGTACGTTGTTTTGAACAGCAATTTCCGTGCATGGAATTTTGGAAAGAACCGAAAAGAAAGGCCATTTTGTATGATAAACAATGTCGATGTGAAACAAAATTAGGCAAATTATAAACAATCTATTTTAAAATTTCAGGCATTCTTTGATTATTCAAAATTCAGGAACAAACGTAGCCTTACCACTTGCTGCCAATCAAAAGAATCAAATTTTAGCATCGGCGAAACAAATATTTCGATTACGATGTTTCAATTTGTATGGTTGTATTAATTTATCGTGTATTGCATTGAAGCGAAGATAAATAAATCAATACATCAGCTGAAACCGAACGAAGTCAAACTTAAATAATTCTTTGCTGTCGAAATTATTCGTAAAACCTTTCAAAAGTGTTAAATTCATGACGAATTATACGTGTCTACGTGTTTCAGCTCCTTATTCATCCATTTTGAATCGAAGTCAACCCAGGATTAAAAAGTTAACCCACCTAGCTAGCAGGGTTAATTTTTTACCAATTTTAACCCAGGGTTAACGCTAACCGAGCTTTGTGCAACGCAAATCAACCAAGGTTTAAAATTTAACCCTGGGTTAGGCATTTTTGACCCTGGGTTAGCGTTAACCGGCTTTTGAACAACCGGCCCCAGGGATGTAATCGCTACTGAAATATTTATCTGTTATTTGGGTCGTTTAAATGACAGTGTGAAATCTCACACAGACGCTCCTTTTAGTGTCATATTTACTGGTCAAAGCAGTGACAGACTAACCAATTTGGTATGTTTATTCACAATTTTGACCAGAATGATAAATATACTTGCTACTGTATATGCTCATGGTCTATTTAACGCAGCATGGTCTATTTAACAATTATACCACGAGCTCGAGTAATATATGAACCATATATGAGCTAGCCATATACGACGAGACGAGTGGTATAATCGTTTTATAATATATTTGGTTTTGCTACGCACCGTATACGAGCTGATGTACGCTGGGTAGCTCGACCAATCAGATTGCGGAATAGCTCATATACAGTGAGTAGCTATATTATATTTTATATACAAAGTGTACAACCATTTTTTGTAAATCATTGAGAAACAGTATTGTAATACTTTTACAATTGTGCACAGTAAACACTTAAATTAGCAAAATAGAATAAAAGATTTCATATTTGTGCTTCGATGCATGGACAGACATGTAACACGGAAGGTTATTTTTGTAAAAAACCTAAAATTTGATACGCATTTATTTTGCCAGATATCTTATATTTTTTGAAAAAGAACATAGCATTAGTATAGCTATCCTAATTATTAGTTAATTATTCTAGTTATTATTATAGTAATCTTATCCGTGTTACCTTAGTACAGCGGCTCATGCACAGACGTAGCACCAGTGAAACTCTACGTTCTCAACTCTTGCATTTCTGACCCAAATTTTACGGAAGGTAATCGCTGACATTACGAGCCTGCACGAGTGGAAGAATTTTCGAAAATTTGGCCCCAACGCGAGCAAGACCTCTAATTCGTGCAGATTCTATATACAGATTCGGTATTACATGAATAAATTAAAGACCAAAATGCACGAGGTTAAACACCACTTTCCATTTCACTTCCAATTTCCGGACGATTCTGATCCGTAGGTACTATGAGACTCTCTTGGGCCATTAATTCGTACTTTAAAACATACGCGGTGAACCGACGACATAAATTCGTCTCTGCCTACAAAATGCAGCATTGCAAAAGTTATTAAAGGCGGCAAAATCACAATCATGCAATGGACCAATTGCGTAATAGACCAACTTATTATCTAGGCATTCAGGAAGAAATAAACCACCACAGGTAAAAAGAGCATACCAAAATTAGTATAATTGCCAGGTTTGGTTGCAAAATGTCAACTAGTACGGAAAATATAGCAACGCGAATTTGGCAATTTTGTATACTTTTTTACTACGGCCGGAAGCGTGTAATTAATTTAATTACACACGTCCGGCCGTAAGTTAAAGGTATACAAAATTGCCATATTCGCATGGCTATATTTTCCGCGCCTTACAATATTTCGCAGCCAAACTTGGCAATTTTACTAATTTTGGTATGTACTGTTTGGAAATTCCCTTTTTGTCACCTAAATAAAAAGTTGGTCTATTATGCAAACGGTCCATTTGCAACATTAATTTTAGGGCTACGAAAATCTAGTCATTGATGCACATCATTACCAGAAATTTGCGACATGATAGTTTGCATGTATACTAATTTGCATTTAACTTTCAGCATAATGGCCTTCAACATTTACTATAAAATATATATAGTAAATATACAAAACTTAAAAATGCCGTTGACCTAGACCTTGCCTACTGTTTGCCGACCTCTAGATCGGTAGAGCAGCTGTTTATAAACGTTTTGGTGGCCGAATTTTTTTGCCTGGGCATTTCTGTAATCTGCCAAATTTAAAAATATATTGCTGAAAGTTTTGTCCGTGTTCTGTCAACGAACTTATAAAATCGCTCACATTGATTCGAATATTTCGATTCAGGTAGTTGATGAATTGACGTGTAATATACCAAAAAAAGTTGTTAAAGATATTGTCTTTCGTATTTGTGTATAAACTTTTCTGTACGGCTCGGATTTTCACTGCAATCACTTTAAGAAATATTATCAGTCTTATCAGGAACTTGAACAATACGAAGGCTATATACACATTTGTTCACAATCAGTTGGCCGAACGTAGAAATACCTAAGGTAAGTAATTCGATCATTAAAACGTTGGGAAACGGCTGTTCCATTGACCCAGAGGTCGGCAAACAGTGGGCAAGTTCTAGGGCAACGACATTTTAAGGTTTTGTGTATTTACTATATGTATTTAATAGTAAAAGTTGAAGGCCATTATGCTGAAAGTTAAATGCAAATTAGTATAAATGCAAATTATCATGTCGCAAATTTCTGGTAATGGCTAGGAAAATCTAGTCATTGATGCACATGTCATGAAGGAATATTTGGAATTACAAATATATGCAAATCAGTAAATATAAAAATTGATGAAAATAAGTTCCTCTGCAAAGGTATTAATGGTGTACATTAGAAACAGACGTGTAAATACAAAGGTGGATAAAAAGGATAAGATTGATGCATGGAATGCAGTTATACTCTCATATACATCCATAAAGGATGCCACAGAAAACGCTCTCTAGTAGATTTAAGTTAGGATCTCAAAACAGCGCATTATCAAGTTTAAATATGACACTCTTTGAACAATATATCGTATGTAACAGAGTATTCTGTTATGCATTGATTTAATTTCACCTTCTTTTTGCGTTCACGATTTTCACCGGGACGGCAAGGCATTCATTTTCGTCAAAAAACAACACAAGTACACACCTCAAACTCATCGTAAATCCGGCGATGATGATAATAAGCATGGGAAAATATCCTGTATATTCTACGACAAACAGAACCAAGCTTTGAGATCGACGATTCCTTGATGGTTACCCTTAAATTGAAAACTAGACCTATAAAGATGGCTGACGACAAACAAGCAAGCATGCAAGCATCATTGTTTCTGGTTGTTACGCGGCATTGCGGCAAAACGTTCCAACAAAAGGTTTTTACACGGTGCACAATTATGTGAAAACTCGAAGTTTACATAATTATGGCCACACAATACACGCGCTAGCTGTGAAATTGCCTGTTACACTATGTAGTCATAATTGGTCTTTACATCCGCAACAAGCGTTGTTCTGGAGTTTAGGCATTTGTGACAGCCCGTTTGTAACAGCCCTATGATGTATTATTTCCAAACAGCAACAAGGCACGTGTGTGGTGAATTTCAAAACAAATTCAAGTGAATTCAAGTGCTTTTTTAATGTAATTACGATCAATAGTCAATATACTCTCTGAATCGATATACACGCACTCTTGTCTCTGCATCGCCTTTTATATTACTTTTCGCGGGCGTTTGCTCAAATTTAATAATTCTACTAAGTTACAAAACCTACACTAAATTGGGGGAAATTTCTTCACTGGGGGCCTTCCGCTTATTCCCATTTATGTGACCTTATATAGCAGTACCAAACCATACAGTACCTGCTAGGAAAGTATTTATTACTGTTGAGAAGCGACGCAGCACCATCCAAGGTGTGCCTTGTGTAATCTAAAGCAGGGCACTAGTAAAAAAATGAGACGAATAGTTGAAAATAAAAACACGAGAATGCAACTCCTGGGACCTGGGTTGTACACTGTCTTGGTTTGAAACGTATACGTGGTGGTGATGTCATGTAACGTATCAATATTATTAAATTAACGCGTCTATATTATTTTAATAAGTCCGTCAGTCCAAAGTGTCAGATGTCAGTAGATTGTGTAACTCAAGCAGAGCAAGAACGCTAAAGAGTCTGCAGTAAATTTACACGGACAAATAACCTTTGTCTATTCAAGTTTGGAGTGTGTAACTAAAGTAAGTTACGTTCATCTTGTTGTAGAAGCTGGTTCGTTGTTCTCTCGTCTGGGCAGACTGGGCTTCAGTCGCGCGGAGTGGTAAATTGTATTCATGTGTATGTATATGATTAATATATTAACGCATGGTAAGGGTCTTGATGACTTGATTTCGAGTGGAAATCAGACACATTTCAAGTTCAAGCCGGAAACAGTTGGAAAAAAGTATCAAATATAGGTCCTAATAAATGAGTTGCCATAAATGGTGTAGTTCGAACTTGTAACCATATGTACGTAAAAACATATCCTAACATCCACAACAATACCAATCTAATGAATCTTTCTATTATGACTACCAAACCCTAACCCCAATTCCAACGGAAATCAACAAAAAAAAACATTGTATCGTTATAACTGTAAATTAATCTTACTTATGTTTGATCGGCGTGTGAATTTGCGAAGGCGTTATTCACCTATTGTTGCGTTTAATCGACTCTTGGACTTTGCTCATTACAACAATCTGTCCAGAGAGTCTATGGAGATTATATGCAGATGTGTCAGTGAACTTTATATATATGGAGGCTCGCTCTAGTACATTGCGTAATCTAAAAGTGAAGCCAAACATGGCGGATCATGAAGGCTGCTTGGGTACCGAACCGGGGGCCGGTTGTTCGAAAGGCGTTTAGCTTAAACGGTGGATAAGTTCAAAATGGAAAGCAAAACTATATATTTATAGAACAACTGAGCTGAAATATTTCGATGTAAATAGCTTAATTGTCAATGGAAGTACATATTTAATGCATAAGATGCAGATTTAGTCATTCACAAGATGCATGAGAGTAATTTTAAACTTTGGCTTATCCACCGTTCAAGCTAAACGCCTTTCGAACAACCGGCCCCAGACCTCCACGCACGAGCGGTTAAAATTCAATATGGCGGCAACGTGTGGGAGTAGAACTCGGTCAGTTTTGTAAACACAACACAAATATACGGCATAAGTTACCTCTCTAGAAAGAATAAAATTGCCAGGTAAGGTTGTAAGAAATTGTATGTATTCATTTTTAAAAACTTTCTATTTTAAAAACTTTGTAACGTCCGAAATGTTAGCTTTTTTATTTTTCGTCATAGTTTTATAATTCGTGTTTTTAATTTCCACGCGCGTTTCGCGCATTTTACGCTTCGTGGAGTTCCATGAAGGCTTCACACTTTGAACTGGAGCGAGCCTTCCGTATATATAGAGTCCACTGGTCTGCGTTGTGACGTAGTTTGCGGGCAAAGAACACTTCTGATTGGCCATGCAATGGCACCGATTGACCAATCGGGAACATGCTTTGCCAGAAAATACGTTACAGCACAGAATTTTTATATACGTGTAAAAATGAAACCTCTTTGGGCGTTTTATGAGCGGCACAGAGAAATATCCACTGTTCTGTAGCGGTCATCTGAGTACAAACGTCAGGAAAGCAGTCAACCTAAAGGAGAATCCAGCATTGATTTCGGTGTAACTTGTTCGTAAATGCTTTCTACCATAGATGTATGCTGGGATGTTTATAAGGATGTTTAGGGCTGTGCGTGATTATTCCTGTAGATGGGTAAGACTCTAGGTCTCGTTTTTCTCTGCCATGTATACAACACCATTTTAACTGGGTTGATCATGCAGACAACCATGGAAATAATTCGGCGATGGTATTGCCATGCAGAAACATGGTATTAGATATGATCTCGTCATGCATTGATATGAATAAAACTGGACTTCAGGTTTTGGTTGTTCGGAAGCCAAATTTTGAAGGCACCCGCTGCCATCTCATAGCCATAGCCGGTAACCTCATCGTTACCTACCTGTAACTTTACCGCAAGGTCATTCAATTGTAAACAAAACTGTCTAAAAACAATAGAAACAGCGAACTTTATTGTGTTCCCTAAAATGGGGTTTTCAACACTAATTTACATTTTAAAGCAAATGAATTATGACATAGGAGCATACATAACAGTTCATGGACTCATGGGGTAGGTCCACACTAAAATTACCTAATTCCCACAAACCGGTTTAATACACTAAAATATACTCTGTTTTATATCTACTTCTTTTTTACCTTAACTGTTCGTATTTCCACACACCCTCGTCCTGCCCCTCAGGTGGTTCCAGTATCAACGATATATTTTCAAAATCAGATTTTATCAATTGCTGGATGTACTAAATAACAAGAATAATTACATTTCGAATAGCAAGAAACGATGAGTTTGTTCATTCGAGCATATCGGAAATTTCACTCACTTGTTGTACTGCTAGTGTGCTATCCATTTCCTCAAAAGGTTCATCGGGCCAACTGTACATCGCCTACAAAAAACACACTTATTAAGATTGCGTTCACGCAAGTTACGAAAGACAGGATAGCTTTTTCTCTGAAGCCTCATTTCTTTCGCATCCATGTTCATGCAGTTTGTCCAAATTAGGGCGGGATAGTTTGGGCTGTCTGAATATCTATCAACGAGTATTGACTGTAGTTAAGAATTAACACAGTAACGATGCATGATTTAACAATATCTTAAAGCCTCTGTTGCAACTTGCAATGCAATTCTACTTTTAAGAGACGTAAATTAGTGAAGAGTCTTTAAAATGTAAGTGCAAGAAACGTCCATGGAGAGCAAGAAACACAAATTTACATCTCTCAAATGTGGAATTGTATTGTACGTTGTGTGAAAAATCGCTGAAGAGATCCAAGCGGGGCCATAGCTAGAAGCTTAATTTGGGAGTGCATATTCATGTATTTGTCTTATGCTCGACTGATTTCTTTTGAAAACGATTGTATGTTGTAACGTGTATGGAAACATGAATATATGAATATATAGGCATCGCGACTGTGTGTGAACGTTTGAAACGAAGCAACATCAAAGACAAAACTCGATACCTGCTTTGGGCTGTATCATAGCTGACACAAATAAACGAATTCGGTAGGCAATTTACTACTCGTTCATAGCACGTATGTAACTTGTAACTGCAAGATGCTTTTGAACAACTATAGCATTGTTTATACAACTAAAATTGTGAAGAGTCGTTACGAAATATATATCCCGAAGTATACAGTCGTGTATTTTACGTACTATATATCGATAGTTTAATAGCACAGATTGAGGGAGACTGGACCTGCTTTAAAATTTAAAAGACACGTAAGATTAACTTTATGTTTTCATATCTTAGCTTAACGAAATCAATATACGTTGCAGCAATATTATAAACCGCATCATTAATCCATATGCCGTGAGACGTTATAATTAGTTGTTTTGCATAATCTGGCATATGAAAAACCGATTTCCCACGAATTGACCTGATAGGAACCTTTAAACTTGGTTTCCATTTATACGTAACTGTCGTAAACGAGTCATTTTTACTGATGACAAGTGTCGTACGGTTGCAAACGTGTTTTTAAAAGATTCTGTATTCAAATCGATTCTGTTGACTGCACACAAATAGAAATATTCTATCACATCAGCCACCTTGACATGTTACGACACAACACGGAGCGACCGTCCTCCATAAAATGGTTCCCAAACATAAATCCAGGCGGTTTTCCGCTGGGCGTTATTTTTATTCGATCGAAATTTTTCACCTGATTTTCTTTCAATTGTGAAAATTCGGCCGTAGCGAATTCTATTGACCAGTAACAATTGACAAGTCAAATAAATTGCAGTAAATTTTGATTAAAAAATAAAAAAAAAACTGGGACACTTTCGCTCAAAAACAAAATTGGATATCACAGTGCGTCTGGCGCGCGCCCCACAGAACGTGCGTCATCAACCGCAACTAAAGAAATAATCGAATTTAAGTAATAATCAGTTAATTAGACGAAATGTGACAGATAGCTGTTCCACACAAGATCACCTCAGATTCAACTTCCACTTCAATTTTAGACGAGCAAATCATCGCAATGGACGTTATGAGAAAGATGTTTTCTGTACCACCAGAACGACCGCTGACCTCTACTCAACGCTTCAACTTCGTAACTGCTTTGATCGCGTACGTTATTGGGGGACTGAGTCTGACATTCGCACCAGGTTTCGGAAACGCAATTATCAACCTGGATCTTTCTCCTCATGATATGGGATATTTCACTCTTACTGGGTCCGGTTTGACCACCATCGGATTTTGTTATTTGGTTATATCAAGGCATAAGTCAAGCCAAATTCCTAACCACAGTCCTTTGCTTGGAACTGTCGCTGGTCGACTGGTGTTAGTCAATGTTGTTTTAATATGGTTTTACGCAATAAAAATAATCAATGCTCGCTTTGTGCTCTTGATTACCACACTGGACAGCGTACTTGCCCTGCAGACTTACGTCATTTGGTCACGAGAGACTAAAGACGCGTCGTTCGTGAAGTTTTGCCGCGACATCTGGTCTACCATTATCCCATCTTCCCAAAGGCCACTGCGCTACACCATCTTCCAGGCTCTTGGATATGCTCAGTTTTTCGCGAGCTTTCTGGCGCCTTTGCTCTTGATGACCAGCGGTGTTGTCCCAAGTAGCATCCGAGGAAGTCATGTAGAGGGTCTGTTTCGATCCTTTTTCTTCACCATGGGAGTTCATGCTGTCCTACAAATTCTTGCCTCAGGATCGCAAAACGATTCCTTTCCTATGGTAGCAGTGTGTTATCGTATGATGTGGAACATTCCACTCTTTATCTTCCTCTCAATCACCTCGCAAATCCCAAGAGCACTTTCCAACCTTCTCATTATGTATGATGTCACGTTTATGATTATTACTATGGCACTTTTTGCAACAGGACATCGAGTTGACAAGAAAAACTAAGCGCGAAATATATAGCTTTGACCAGCAATAGACCTTTTCAGCTTGCATGCAAATCTCAGATGTTGTGACCATGGGATAGCCAATAAAACTTAACCATTTCAGACCATGTGATTTGAAATGGTTAATTTGCATACAAGCTGAAAATGTCTATAGTTGTAAAAGGAATACAAATTAAGTTGTGAGTATTTGCATAAGTTAAGAAAACTATTTTTAAAATTTTATTCGGTTGTACTTTGTTAGAGTAGTAGGAATATATAGTAGGATCTCTGATGTTGATAGAATGGACTGGCCGAAGTAACGGTGGACAGAATCATGAATTTAAGAGATTCCGATTTGAGTGGACCTGGTGTATATTATTTGTGCTGCACTTCACTGCAACTGTACGAAACAGCATCGAAGACAAAACTCGATATCTGCTTTGGTTGCATCAGTTACCATCAAAAAGAAAAGTTCGCTAGGCAAGAAACTTAATCTAATCGTTTAGTGTGCGACTATCTTGTGTTACTGAATACTGTATATTTTACTAAATGGCACTTCTTATTAAATCCTCTAAAAAAACTTCTCGTGAGTCTAGACTTTACATTAGGACCTTCGTCAGGACAGTTTATGGTATATGAATCTTGTCTATTTTACGATTTAATTTTGTCGGATTTAATTCACATTGATGAATATTTTATAATCTGTCGACTTGTATGCAAATGTAGCTATATGCATAGGTAATAAATCAACCAAAGCTAATGCAGCACTGCTTTTTCAATAAAAGACTACATTCAATCAGTCAAATACGAGTTGGATCCAACAAAATTGGATCGTGAACAGATATTTCAGAAGTTGCATGGACCTCTTTATAATTTCAGAAGTTACGTACAAATCTAAACTTTTTTAATGTAACTTCGTTGTCTATGTATATATATATAGATACTATATAGAATTTTATATTTCAATTTCAGACGAACAAATTTCCACAATGGACCTCATGAAACATATGTTTTCTCTAAAACCAGAACGACCGCTGACCTATACTCAACGCTTCAACTTCGTAACTGCTTTGACCGCGTACGTTATAAGCGGACTGAGTATGACCTTCGCACCAGAATTCTGGAACGCAGTTGTTAAAATGGATATTCCCGCTGGTGACATGGGATATTTCATTCTGTTCGGGTCCGGTTTGGTCGGCATTGGATTGTACTATTTGGTTCTGTCGAGACATAAGTCAAGTCAATTTCCCAACCACGGACCATTGCTAGGAACCTTCCCTGGCCGCGTGCTGTTAGTGAACGTTGTTTTAATATGGTTTTACGCAAAGAAAATAATCAATGCTCGCTTTGCGCTCTTGATTGCCACACTCGACAGCGGACTTGGCATTCTCACTTATGTCATTTGGTCACGAGAAACTAAAGACGCCTCGTTCGTGAAATGTTACCAAGATATATTGTCTATCACAATCCCATCTTCTCAAAGGCCGCTGCGCTACACCATCTTCCAGGCTCTTGGATATGCTCAGTTTATCATATTTCTACTGGCGCCTTCGATCTTGATGAACAACGGTATTGTCCCAAGTAGCATCCAAGGAAGTCATGTAGAGGGCCTGTTGCGATCTTTTTTCTTTACCTTGTCAGTTCACGGCGTTCTTCAAATCTTCGCCTCGGGATCCGAAAACGATTCCTTTCCCATTGCCGCAGTATGCTACCGTATGATGTGGAATATTCCAGTCTATGTTTTTCTCTGGATCACTTCACAAATACCACAAGCATTCTCCAACCTTCTCATTATGTATGATGTCATGTTTATCATTATAACTATCGCTGTTTTTGCAACAGGGCATCGTGTCAAGACGAATTGAACGCAAACATGTTACTTTTTTAGTCTTTGTAGTTTACATTGCTTAACTCAACCCAGACGGTCGAATAAATTTCAGAGGACAGGACTTCAGACTTATGAACACATGTTGTAAAACGAGTTGAGACAAGTTGGGTTTATATTTTAATTTTATTACAAATAAAAATTAGATGATGATTTCATGGTCAGAAACTAATTCTTGTCTTGTTTTGATCATTTGCGTTTCACCGGATGTTTCATGCTATATTCTTTGCAATTGCCTGCTGGTGTTGGTTAGAATTTACTGGAGAACCCTCAAATCATAGGCAAGTTGATAATGATGAGTACACTGTTGGGTTCATGCATGATGGTGATCTATGCCTGTTGTTGATGCATGTGACTGGCTTAATTCAATGATAAGAGACAGCATACTAAATGCATCACCCACATGCATGAGCCCCAGCCTGCTTGGTTCCTTTGAAGGTTACTAAATTTAACTGTTTGTCGGGTGACAGTCTATAAAGATTATCAAAACTATAATATTCTACTAAAATATTCCAAGCTCTGGGATGCCATTGTGCATTCCATGCTAAGTATACACTAAAACACAGAAAAGACACCAAATTTTACTATAAAATATATTACAATTTTTTAACTCCTGAACTCCATGCTGAAGATCTTCAGCTGAGGGGCTGTTCACATGAGCCAGGTTACTGAGATTTAACGAAGCATAAAATGGACTTTGAGGTATTGAAAGAAGTCTTAATGTTAATTCACCAAATTATCGGAGCTAAAATCAGCACAACCGTCCGCCATGATGGACATTTACCACAATAACATGCTATTGTTAGGATGATTACACGACTACCAGAATCGTGTTATTTACTCATTTCAATACCTCAAAGTCCAGTTTATGCTATGTAATAAATCTCAATAATCCATGCTGTGAAGAGCCCTTAGGCTACTTAAAATGCACCCTGGCTGAGATGTAACCACTACTGCAATATCTATCTGTTTATTGGATCGTTTTAATGACAGTGTGCAGTTTCACACAGACACCAGAATGCATTCCACATACCAAAAATCCATAATATGAAATGATCGAGACTCTGACAGTCCGACTCGCACTATGTTAATGTATATAGAATACCGGACAAATTAAGAAAGGAGCTTCAGATCATTAATAAAATAATAAAAACTAGAATAGTAAAAACTAGAAGATAGGATTTCATGTGAAAACCTCAATAAGCGGTTCTCACAATGAGAATAATCCATCAAGCAAAATTGGAACAGTCCTGAGTCCGGGGACATGATTTGATGAAGCCATTATTATATAAACGTACTAAATGAATACAAATCTTTGTTTTCAACACACCTCAGCTCTTGTTCCAGGCCGATTTCTTCGGATTATTGGTGCACTCAAATGTACGACGCTCGCCATCTTGGAAATGATTGAGTGTTTTTGGAACAACCCCCCGTCTTAGGATCTTGCACTATGGACTTATTGTCTAATTGTCTTTGTTTGTCTCCCAGTGGTCTGGAAGAAATATGATGTTATTGTTTGGATTTGATTATCAGGAACAAGATAGTAAAAATAACTTGGAATTTTGGGTATACATTTTTGCAATAATTGATATTTAAGGCGCATTTTTTGTAAAATCAATTTTCAGCAAATTTCTAAATACGGGGGGTGAACAGATATCAAAATTAGTAGGAACTAGACATTATGAAAGACTTTGCTATTTTACAATGTTTTGATGTTTTTATTTTTGCGAAATTTACAGAAGTAAGTATACTTGATAACTTTCACTGCAATTTTTTGATGTACACAATTTCCGGCAGTGAAAATAAATACAAGTCAAATCTGTCAATCTTAATAAGATATTAGATCATTGTATGATTTGATTCCCAAATTGGAAATAGAAGGACATTTTAGTGAAAGGAATATGCCCCTATTTAGTGTCCTGTTTACTGGTCAATTATAGCAGTGACAGACTAACCACTTTGGTATGTTTTTTCACATTTTTTACCAGAATGATGAATTTACATCTAGTCTACTTGCTACTGTATATGCTCATTATTGCCTTTCTGTAAATTTTCAATCTCTATAGTAAAGTTTAACATAAAGCATACAAGTTCAGTCTTTTGTATTCAAGTGTATAACTATTTTTTGTATAAATCAGCTTTTACACATCCCGCTCTTAATTGACGAATAGCATTGTAATTATTTTAGAATTGTGAATAGTAAACAAACGAAACTAGTTTTCCTATATTTTGTGAATGGATATAATTCAACCTATAATCTATATACAGAGTATTTATGCACTGACACTGTTTTAACAGGTGCAGTTTGTTGCAAAGATATAGCTGTAAAATTCTCAGAACCACATGTATTGGTTGTTTCTTGAACATGTCCACAGCAAAAGAAAACATTGTCAAAAAAGTGCAATCCCCACTTCTTAAAGATGTGTTAACTCCGGAGCTGTTGACAGTCACGAATGCTTTTCAAGAGAACGGCTACGAAATTCGCCTTGTTGGTGGGGTTGTCAGAGACTTGCTTCTAGAAGTGCAATCAAAAGATATAGACTTAAGTACAAATGCCACTCCAGAACAAATGAAAGATGTGTTTGTCCGGAATGGTATTAGATTCATTGAGACCGGGCTAGAACATGGGACATTGACTGCACATCTAGATCATTTCGACTTTGAGGTCACGACATTGAGATACGACACGGAACAAGATGGACGGTGGGCGAAAGTTGTGTTCACCAATGATTGGCGACTGGATGCGGAAAGACGAGATCTTACAATTAACGCAATGAGCATGGATACAAACTGTTGCCTGTACGATTACTTTGGTGGCGTAGAAGACCTCAGGTGCCGTCGCGTGAGATTTGTTGGCGACGCAGGACAAAGGATTAGGGAAGATTTCCTAAGGATTCTACGATATTTCCGATTTTACGGTCGTATAGCTACCGACGCCGATAAACATGATAGCGAAACATTGGAAGTCATTAGGGAAATGGCTTTCGGTCTGGAAAAAATCGCAGTCGAGAGAATATGGATGGAAATGTCGAAAATATTGATTGGAAACTTTGCACCTTCGATAATGAAGCATATATACAACTTGGGTGTAGCCAAATGTATAGGTATAATTTTCTAAATCTCGATACCTGTTGTAGTTTTTATCGGTCTTACTCCTAGTATTCTGCTATTCTTGTCGACTCTGTGGCATAAAAAAATACCATATCATAAGTCTTGGTTTTACTGCTTGGACTAATGTGTAGCACCATACCTCTTTGTATTTTAGGTCTTCCAGAAATATGTTCAGGAAAACTTGAGGAGTTTGAAGCTGTTTGGTGTAGGATGAAAAATCACACACCCCAGGCGGTGACGTTATTGGTATCACTTGTGGATGATATCGAAAGCACCGAAGTGCTGGCGAAAAAATTGAAACTATCCAACGCAGAAAAACTACTCGGAAAGTTTATTGCAACCCATAGGCATTTAAACGATCACCCAGATTTTCCACTTAAACCATATCAAGATATTCTTGTGTCTTGTCCAGCCAAGTGCGCTGAACAGCTCCGTCGTCAGGTCATCGAATTACTTTACTACGAAGGAAAATCGGATCTGGCGAAAGACATTGAAACGTGGCAAATCGCCGAGTTTCCCGTCAATGGAAATGACTTGAAGCAACACAACATCAAACCCGGACCGAACTTTGGTAAAATATTAAACCGTCTCAAAGAAATGTGGAAGGATAGCTATTACACGTTGTCAAGACAGGAACTTCTTGAGAAGATTGATGGCTTGCTGTGAGCTAGCAACCTAATTAAGTGCGCATTCATATTTGCTATAACTATTTACTTTACTCACCGGTAAAACATGCCGTTGAAATAAAATTTGTGGATATCCAGTAGATACCTCGCCTTAGTTGTCGTGTATGACGATAAAATTGTTGTGCATACAAAAGTTTTTTTAAAGTAATAAAATGACAAGCAGCATTTTTTTGTTACAATTTGTTGATAAATTTGCTACTTTTGCGAACACATTTGGTTCTGGCGCGAAATTTTCCCGCGTTTTTGAACTCTTTCCTGCGTACGTGCACAACGTTTACAGTTCTGTGGTTGAAAAAATAAATAAGCCTTGTTATTAAGGTAAGCCAAATCTATGCTAGTTGTTTAATGTAGAACCCTAGAAAATTTGAAATTTTTTGTGAAAACTGTTGTTCTCGTTGCCTAATATTCCTCAAAACGAATCACGATTGAAGGTTGACTATCTGAACTATCTTGATTACGAATTCAAACTCTGCAGTTTCGGTTGAGGTTCTTGTAAAATTGACAGTTCTTTGCAAGGGGGCAGGAGATATTTAACCTGACATTATTAAGGCATATAAAAGTCATTTCAGAACAGTAAAAATTGTAAAAAACCTAAAATTTGTTACGCATTTATTTGCCACATAGCTTAGATTATTTGAAAAAGAATATAGTTTATATATGAGAGTTATATATGTGTGCAACTTATACAAATATTCATTAACGAAAATATTAACAGTGAGTAGCAATGCCTATTGTTTCAATATATTAAGAGGTGCATTACAGGTGTTCTTGTTAACTCTATTCCAATATCAAATCAGATTTTACTTTTTCTACAGGGTGTCCCAAAAAAAACGAAAACTATTGAAATCACCCATAACAATGCCATTGTTAGAGTTTGAATGCCTAAGCACTCTGTTGGGCCCACAAGTGTATAAATCGGGGTTGCCATAAGCATTTTTATGCATGCATATGATGCTGCAAAATTTACTTGTTTGCAAAAATGATATTTATTAACAATATTTACAATTTACAAATATGGATAACATTATTTAAATGTGCATCTCAAGGACCATGACCTTCGACATGTCCCCTTTCTCTAGCAACACAAAGCATTTAGCATTTTACTGAGTTGCATTAAATCCCCACGGGCTGAAATTCGTGAACACGGCATTCAAATTTTAACAATGAGTGATTTCAATAGTTTTCTTTTTTTTGGGACACCCTGTAGTATAAAGAATTTGTAAAAAACACACACATACCTAAATGATTTTTTTGGAACATGCATATAATAAAATAGATGAGGAAATTCAATCTGGTCTCAAATATTAATAAAATCATCAAAGGGTCGTATGGCTTGCATATTATAGGCAATTCCTGTTTTTGGCTAAGGGTGAGGACTAAGGTTAGAGTTCAGTTCAGAACTATGGTCAAAGAATAATTAGGATGAGCTTTGCATTTTAGGTCAGGGTTTAGGATACTTTTAACAAGTGCTGAAAAAACATTTGCTAAAATACTATGTTGGATGTGTAGAGGACTTATAAGGTATTCTGTGCAAACAATCAACATTAAGTGTGTTGTTCAGATAACTTGTCTAGGAAAATGAGAGTAGTTACAGCTCTCCTACAAAATTAAGTTTAGGTGGCTTGCCAAATGCAAATCGGTATGCAAATAAGATGTGAGAATAAAAACATGTTACACAAGTTGCCCTCCTAGTGAAAAAATATCTGAACATGTAGTTGCTCTCTAATCCTAACGCCAGCCTTTCACCAATGGGAATTTCCTACAAAAGCTACTTTGACAAGGTGCATTTGAAAAAAAATAAATATGATCTTAAGTAACAACCAAGGAAATACAACATTTTTTTGCGATATTCAACACACCTGTATGCAAAACACCAATATACATATAAATGTTTTAGTACAGATGCTCCTTGCAAGCAGATGTGTTGTGCATGATTTTAATAATCTCAGTTAGAAATGTCTTACATCTCTACATATTATGTATATTTGTCTCTGTCAAATCATTTTCTCAGTGTCCGAAGTGAATTCAATGAGTTATTTTAGTTCCAATGTCTATGTTACTAAGCTGTAAGTATTGGCAGATGTTAATACTCAAAGAGTATCTGATACCAGTTCCACATTTGCCAACCAATTTCTCACAGTATAGTACATTTCCTTTTTTTACCCTTTTTCGGTTTGCTAGTCGACTTGCTGCCATCTTCCATTTTACGTGAGCGGATCTCTCGCATCAAATCGTAAAATACCTTATCAACATTTTCCTTGGTTTTTGCGGATGTTTCAACGTATGGGACCTTCCACTCCTCAGCCTTGCCATTGGCTACTTCTTGTGTTACTTGACGTTTGTCAGCCAAATCTGCCTTATTGCCAACCAGCAAGAATGGGATGTTTTCATCGCCCTTTACACGTAGTATTTGTTCTCGGAAATCGCCAGTGGCTTGAAACGATTCAGTTTCTGTTATTGAAAATACACACAAGAAGCCTTCGCCGCTGCGAAAATAGTTGTCGCGAATAGCAGCGTAATCCTCTTGCCCCGCTGTATCCAATATGTCAATTTGACATTCTTCCCCGTCCAACATGACTTTCTTCCGATAGCTATCCGCTTTCGTCGGCTCATAGTCCTCCACAAACTACAGAACGAATAGGAGTTTATAACACAGTCTACATAGACAAATATATAAATAATCGATTTCGACATGTAATCCACGCAGTCACAAACAAGTTGAGACTAGATATACTAGGGTTCTGGGGAACAAAAATAGTGTCGCAAACGCTAGCAAGAAGTACCATATCTAATGTATAAAGATTTCTACAGAATGCCTTTGCGAAATTGAAAACGTAAAAACCAATCGATTCAATAACAAGCATGGTATTTGAGAAAATAAAATTCTCGTGGAGGGTGGAGTCTTTATAACTTACTTCATCATACATGAACTGTAAAGTAAGCGCGGATTTTCCAACGCCGCCGCTTCCAACCATGATAACTTTATGCAGTCCAGTCTGTTTTTCTTTGGTCTTTGACATATTTACTTTTTATTGTTTTGTAAAGTGTAGAAATTAAGAAAATAGTAGAACAATATACGGCTTTGTACAGAGTTTTGATGTACCGAAGTGAAGGATATGTTTGGGTTTGACGTGTGACGTCACAAATATAAGCACAAGGAAGTACTTGATGTAATGATAACGTAATGCAACTTTACGTAATGCATAACCCTGCAACAGGAGAACACTTATAACACGCCTATTTTCAGTTCCGTTGCCAAGGCGCAAAGAAGCTCTTTAGTGGCACTATTCAAAGCAATAGTAAGTAAAAGATGGGACAATTCACTGAGTAATGGTCACTGTCATACGCTTGTTAAATAAAGAGATCAACTAACTCTAGGAGATATTATACCGAGGTTCCGATTTGACTTCTAATACCATTAACGCATTACGGTTACCTTTGAGAAAAAACAACTAAAAACAACAACACTAGCAGATTAACCAATCACGAACCAAATGTACCTGAAGTCGAACCCGAACATTTCTAATTTTAGGAAAGGATAAATACAGGCAAAGGACCTACACCTGCAGTGAAAACAACCTCGTACCCAGGGTCTTTACTCGTGGGGGTTTATTTTCTCCCCACGAGTAAAGACCCTGGGAACGAGGTTGCAGTGAGAACAGAGACGATGTAATTAATGGCCTGCGATTATATAAAATTTCTTTTCGTTTTTATATAATTCAGATTTGACACTATAAACATACAAATTAGATACAAACAAGGAGACTCCCGAGGCAGATTAATTCACTAGAACTACATTATAAGGAAATGTTGCTAAACTTGCCCGTTTTAAAAATTTACAAATATGTTTTGTTCGTGTGTTACTGGCAATTAAGATAGCTCGATAGGAAGAAATCACGGGAAGTATATTTTTTCCCTCTAAAATGTGACAGTGTGGATTTTTACTTCCTTCGAGTTCCTTGCACAGCCCTAGTGTTTGATGGCGATTGCGGAAAAGCTTCACAGCAGCGTTTGTGTGTCTGGACAAATCACATTTCCTAAACATTTTACACCAAATAGATTTTCGAAAAACAGAAACAGTTTACACCAAATAGATTTTCGAAACACTAGAACACAGAAACTTACTAGAATACTTTCCATTATTTATTCCTATCAAGCCAATGTAAAGGTCATCGTAGGAAGACGGTACTCTCATTTGAAGGATCGCATTATTGTATATAGTCAAGTAACGAGATATGTTAAAACAACTTTAACAGAAATAGCCAAAGAGCTACATGCCCACATAACGAAAAAGCACGATAATTTCAAATGAGATTAAATGTGCATTCTCTCTAAAAACCTGATAAATGAATCTTTATTAATTATTATTGATACTGTGATACCGTAAACCTCGTTGGCGTATTCATTTTTAAGCACCCTCAGAGCCTTATATCGGGAAATTTGGAAGAATATGGGGTGAAGTTTTATCGCATAGACTTGAATATAGAATGGGACTAAATTTTTGCAGAAGAAAGTTTGACCCACCACGGGTGGTACAAGGGGGACAGTGCCCAGCACCCATTATCGCCGCTCGATACCCCCCGTTGGGGACGCACAAAAAGTGAGTCATTAACAAGTAAACATCATTTAGTTTTTTTCAATAAAGAATCTATGCAGTAACCGACACTTACTCGGCCCTCAACCCAACCTTGTGTTGAAGGTATGTGGGACTTAAATTCGGAGGTTTAGGCATCTACCTTTCGTACCGTGTAACCATATGACAAATATTTAGCAGGATTATGATCTCAGTTGATCAATGGCGATCAGAACTCTTATCCCTCGTGCGCCCATCAGTTTCCGCACTGTAGGGTTTATAGTCAATAAAAGAAGAATCGGACTGTCGTCGATCTTTGTCGCTTTTAGCCGGTAGAACATGGTCCTCACCGTCTGCTGCTCGTGTTCCTAAATCATTACTGCCTGGTTTTGCAACGGAGTTTACGTTATGTCCATCTGCTCCTTCGGAATGGGAACTGTTGTGCATTTTTTTCTGCTCGTATATTTTAGACAGCGAATCTTTAAGACCTGCAGCAGTTGTCAGGTTCGCTGGACCCGAGGTTTTCTCAACACCGACTCCGTTGTCTGTTTTAGGGACATGCTGCCCTTCCGTCCCACCGTTGTTAGAAGATTTTGTGCTCGCAGAGGCAGAGTCTTTCCTCGTTTGTTTACTACCAGAAGAGCGTGAATTTTCCTCTTGACCCTTGCCCTCCTTATTTCGCCTCCTTTTTTTACACCACATCTCGTGGCAGTCTTGCCAAAGCGGGAAACTGGAAAAAAAGTTGACAAACGCGTACCCGTAGATGAGCTGTTTTTAGTGCAGACGCTGAATCAAATACACACGACGCGAGAATGAGCAAAATTATTTTCAATAGGTGAGGCGACGAAAGTTAATCGCATATCAAATTCTGAATGAGTGCATGGGTATTTTGGCCCTTGGAACAAGGTTGTTATAGATTGGTGATAACGCATTGTATTCAGTAACCCGATTTTTAAGCCGGAATATTTTTTTGGGCGAATTCAAAATCCTGTAAAAGTCTGGAGACATTGGTTATATTTGGCACGTTGTAATGGAAAAATATCCCATGTATAATGTACCTTGTCAAATACAGTCGGTTAGCATCCTGCAGTTAGAAATAAACATACTGAACCTACCTGGGAGGAGCAATCTTTGCGGGGTCAACATCCTTTAGGAAGTCATGCTGCAGCGACTGTTCAGATGTAATTCTCTTGGATGGATCGAGTATCAACATTCGATCTAACAAGTCCAGAGCAACTGGTGGAAGACTAAACAAATCAAATGATTGCTCTTGATGTCGAGGCCACACGTGTATTCAGGGGGGGGGGGTATAACACACAATACACCCCAGTCAAAATGGATTGGTCAGGGTATACATCACTGAAATCAAGCATGTTCACTGTTTAAATTGACATTAAGAAATCACCCGTCAAATGACCGACATTGAGGTAAGTTCGAGCGATGACAATCGAAAAGAAAATGGATCGAAAAATTCCGCATCGTGGAAAACTGCCTGAAAACGTCCGGTGCATGAAATTTCATTTGACTTTCACCTGACATTATTAACAAAGCCTTAATGCTAACCGGCCTAGTTAGCCAGGCTAGCCACGATTCTGCAAATATTCTATTAAGAATGTGTGCATGGGTACAGTATATATGTAAGGTTTTTAACTTACGTTATATATTCCTCAACAAGTCTTCGTCGATATTGTTTCTTTGGTTTTATAGTGCTAAAATGAGGTAGGTTGATCACGTCAGGCCATACCGCTGGTGTTGGAGTGCCACATATCCGACTAAAATTAACAATTGAGGACAATGATGAAATTCAGTTCGTCTTACGAATGCTTTGTTATGCATCGTATATAGAAAGCCGCAGTGGAGACGATCGATGGTACTCCTCACGTAGGGTAACACGTGTCAGGAAATAACGAATTAATGTACCTGATCAGTTCAAGCTGACCAAGTTCTTCGCCAGCTTGAAAGAGTGGTTTCTTCATAAAAAGTTCTCCAAGGATACATCTAGAAAAAAAGAAGAGTCATAGCAGTCGTGACGATAAACATCGTTGTTTATTTGTAAACACAACCTCTCATAAGCAAGTGGTGGACGTGTATTTGGAAGGGTGCTATAGCATTCCTATGGGAATCTTTGGCATTGGAAATATTCGGCATCGGCATTTTGAAAGGAATATAAAGATATTACGGGAATACCGGTTTCTTTTGATAATGGGGGAGTAAAAAAAATGGAGTAGAATAAGTAGACAGACATATAGTTTTCTCATGTTACAGCAAGGGCGTATATGTTTCCTAGAATTGAAATTTAATACAGTAAGATAAAGGTTCTCGACAATTCTGGTGTATGGTAAATTTCTGTGCATGTAATGGTATAGTTGATTATCTGGTATTGATATACTGATATTAATTCAATACAGATATTTTCGGTATATCAGTAAACCGAACAGGCCTAGGGGGTGCGCAAGGGTTTCCACTCCTGTAGACCTTATATAGCCAACAAGATCGATATCTCCAAAAATCAAATTTATCCTGCTTTAAAATTTTAGTAACAGCACGTAGCGAAGCAGTTATAGATATGCTGTGTTCCATGCACCAGGTGGACCCTAAAAACCTCGTTGGATTAAAACATGTAATAATACGGATCATTAAAACATGCACCATAAAAACATACGCATCATTAAAACATGCAATAATACTGACCGAGCAAATTGTTACTAACCCGCAACTCCAAATATCAATCGCTGGGCCATATCTCTCTTCACCAAGCAGTAATTCAGGAGGACGATACCATAGTGTGATTACTTTATTTGTGTATGGACGACTAAAAATGAAGGGTTTAATGAAGGTCAGAATTCCCAGCGGAATGGACGCGTTATTATATTTCCCCCACACAGTGCGAATTTTTGGGAAATATATTCTTTCAAATCCTCCCGGGGAAAGGTCGAAGACTACTGGGAACTGGCGAGGTACTTTAGGCTGCGATATAAAGCGTATATAACTGTATTCAAACTTCATCTCCACTTGCGTTATTATCGAGTTAGATCGTACAACCAGGGCCTCTGCTCTCCACATCTGCTTAATCATACTTTACATGTTTTGAAACATACACCCCACACCCTAGTTCTCAGACAGACCCTGCATGCACAAAATATCCACGAGAAACCTGAAGAATGCATGTGTCAAATAACGCACACGAGTTTAAAACTTCCCAAATTACCTTTCATCTGAGTTGTATAACCTTGCCAGTCCGAAGTCTCCAAGTTTAATCTCTCCCCTGCAGAGGAAATAAATTCACCGTAAGTGTGAAACTTAAATTGACAATTTGCATCTTTGAAGAAAAGTATATTAATGGGAGGCAAAATGAAATAAGTAAAACTGAAGTTGACAAACAGTTCTAAAATGTAGAAAGTATACAGTCTTGCACGGGTCTCAAATTTGATCACTTTTAATGATCCGAGAATGGTGGTATAACAATCTTCGCATAAAAAATACATATTTTATATTTTTGAAATTTAACGTTTTGAAATTTTGCAATTTTACTTTTTTCAACATTCGCTTTCTAGCCGTGGTGGTTTACGGCGCTTCGCCCGTACTGCATGGCTAAGCGGACGTAATGGAAAACCGCCTTTACAGATTCTAATATATGCTTACTTGTTATTTAAGAAAATATTAGAACATTTGATGTCCCGGTGTAAAAAGTTTCGCTCGTGACAGTAGTTGAGACCATCCATTAGCTGCCTCATAAACGACTGAATATGTTCATCTGAGAAGTACACTAAGCCAGACTCGAGTATACCCATCAAGTCGTGATCAAGATATTCAAACACAAGATAAAAAGCCCCTGTTGAAGATAGAATGAAGCCTCGTGTTGACAGTAATCGTAAACCGCTTGGTCATGCATTGAAATATCTGGGCACGAATGTATGGGAAAACTATCCCTATAGTTCTGATTGGAACTGAATATATTCGGTATATATTTTTTTAACGTAAATTTAAGTTATTGTTTAAAAGGTAATGTTTCTGAGTGATATAAATGTGTTTTTTGAAAGCAGACTAAAATTTGATCGAGGTAATAAAATCCAACAGCACAAAGAATAGAACAAAATATTGTCTCAGAGTGTTTGCGAATTTTGTACAGATTTCATTTGTTGAATACGCGTAGTACAATAACCTTTTCTCAAGAAGGCTGAGTAAGTGATTGCTTTTCTGTTCACGAAACAAACACATAAATTTCGCATTTTTATTCATTTTACGCTGGGCTGTCGCATTTTATTCTCCTTTTATAGACATATCTCAAGTTTAAGCTTGAATCATCCACTGGTGTGCTATTTAAGAGTTTGGAAATGTAACATTCTATTTCTTGCAGTTTACAATATCTTACTGGGGACTTTGAAGTTTCTCCAATAGACTGCAAACATAAGAATGGCAAACTTTCTGCAGGGGGGGGGGTTGTTGGATGAAGGTCAAAGAATATGGAGTGTCTTTTTAGTAGGCTTTCCTATGCTAGAGACTCACCTCTATCTTTTCGGAAATCCATCGCGTTCTTCTTATCCGTGACAATTTCCTGTAATTTGACGATGTTTTTGTGACACAGCTGACGTAAAATTTTGATTTCTCTCACTGCTGTGATAGGAAAACCCTCTTTTTCATTGTCTAATCGAACTTTCTTCAGCGCCACAACTTCCCCTAAATAACAAGGTTTAACGAAACGAATTTAAAACTGTGTTTACCATACAATTTTAGAACTTTACAACTTTGTGTCTAATTACGGCAGGGGGTATTGAGGGTGTATTTTTTAAAAAATTGAGAAGCTCTAAAATTTTGGTGTGGAAATTTCAACTTTACTACAATGGGAAATACAAAAGTAACTACCTGTATGGCTATAACTTGCCAGTTTTTCAAAAGCAAAATTAATTTTGGTATTTTTAAAATACCTTTTGCCTTGAAAGTTTTGAAATGGTGTTACTGAATAAAAATTATCATTAATTTCATTTTGATATGTAGCTAAATGTTTTGGATCAAGTACGTCCGCTAATTAATAACTGAGATAACTATTTTGTAAGTGATAGACTACAATCATCTTCAATTTTTGAGGATAAAATGGTAATAGGGTGTACAGATAGGGTGTACATATGTTTTTACCATAATCTTATCTTGACCATCAGTGACCAACACAAATTACAATTTCAGAAAGTAATAAAAAAATTTCGAATTGCATAAAACAACATGTAGTGGTACTAAAATTGATCATACATGGATTGGTCTACTTTCATTGACAGTGGTGGTAGTAAAATAAATCGTCAAAAGCATCCGTGCATCGCAGCAGGAGAAAATGTTGTCATTGGCCAGTCACAAGTTGTGCCAGTTCCCCATCAGAAAGAGAGTTAATGAGTCAACATACTATGCAATGAAAATTGCTGTTTTGACTGGAAATTATTCATCATGTAGGGAACTGAACCACAAATTTAAAGGTAGAAAATCCAACATGGAATTTGAACACAATGTAGAGTAACTGAATAATACAACAGAATAACACACCTTACTTATGCATCAACGAATATTAGCCTTGATCACTAGGCAGGCATACACAGCAACATTTGCAAATTTTTAGTGCCAATAGTCCTTTTCTTATGGACCAGCTACCAGGAAAAATGTCAAATGTCCCTGTGTATACCTGCCTGTTTAGGAGCCATTGCCTAGTGCATTAATTAGTATCTGTAACATACATTCTACATACATGTGATGTGAATGTAATACATATGTAGTAATATAATAGAAAAAAATACTCAATGATAAGAGATTAAATGACATGTACCTGTCTCTTTTTCCTTCGCTTTATATACTTGTCCAAATGTTCCTTCACCAACAATAGCAATAATATCAAACATATCCACACATCTCTCCCCCCATTCACCCTCCTCATCTGATTCGTCTTCAGATTTCCCAGGAGTTGACATGACAGATGGTGTTGTGGGTTTAGAGTCTAAGGACACCTCACCTTGTTCCTTAGTTACATCAGATGCATCTGACAACTCTGAGCCTGGAGACTCATCTGGTAGGTTGGGAAGAACAGGAGGCAAAGGTAATGGGGGGAGTGCTGGTTGGGCAGGTGTGTCATCATCTGGGGGAAGTGGGGGTGGCTCTGTATCAGGTAAAGGTGGCATTGGAACACTCTCCATAGTTATTTCTTTATCAGGTAGTGGCACTTTGGCCTCTTCAACAGGTAAAGGGGCTGTATCAGTTTCATTAGGCAATGGTGGTTTAGGCTCCTCATTAGGTAATGACACTTTAGCATCTGTGTCAGCTAGTGGTGGTGGCAGTTGAGGTGTAGAGACCTTCACAGGTGGGGTTATAGGAGACATAGTTTCCACAAATTCAGCTTTTACATCAACTTTAATTAAGTCTTTTTTCTTACTCATTGAGCTACTAGAGCTGCTGGCACTTGAATGACATTTACTTTTATTACCATCATCTTTATCTCGGTCTTTATCCCTATACCCACTATCTTCAGCTTTTTTCCGCACCGGAGACTTCCGATACAATGTTTCATGCTTTTTATGAGATGTAGAGTTCTTCCGTGACACATGTTTGTTATCCGACTCGGATTCCGAATGCCGATGTGACTTTGTTGCATGTTTTACCTCTGGCTTAGACTTCATAGCTTTAACAGCAGACCTGATCATTTTACGTGGAGATGGGCTTCTTGACCGTGAGTATCTTTGTCCGGAATGAACTACCCGTCCTTTTCTCTGATAGCCTGGGGATCGCTTTGGTGACCAGTAGCCAGGTGGCGATCTGTATGGTGAATTATAATATGGGGATCTGTAACCAGGAGGAGACCTATACGGTGACCTGTAGGGTGGTGACCTATAAGGTGGCGACCTAAATGGTGATCTGTAAGGTGAAATATATGGTCTATTTAACATTCTATAGGGTGACCTTGATGGTGAATGATGATATCTCCTTCCAGATCTATTTAATGAAGGGCTTTTCCTTCGGTATGGTGATCTAGATCGTCTATATGACATCTGTCTGTCTGGCGTTAGTGAGCGTGTCTGTTCTGGTGATCTATAGGGACTTGGACTATTCATATCTTTTGGTTGATATGCTCGTGGCAGTACAGGTGACTCAGTCTTACTCGATTTTTGCTTTTTATGAAGCTTACTTTTCTTTTTAACTGGTTCAACATCATTCTGGCTTGAATAAGCTTTTGCTTCTTTGACATGACGTTTGCTCTGATTTACAGCTCTTACTGGACTCATATCTTTATAATTCTCCTTATCAACTGCTGGTGAAATCGGTGAATGTACAGATTCGCTGACAGACAGTTGTTGTTTAACAGGCGATGGTGAACGTTTCCTCTTCACTGGTTTGTGTTTACCACTCTTCACCTTTGGTACTCCTTTGGCCTTTTTCTTTTTCTTCTTTTCGCCACGGGTTTTCTTTGGGATGACTGGTGCTATCGGCGAAGGAGAACGTTGCATAATCACAGTCGGACGTTCAGGTTCTGATTCACTTTCTTCGCCGGTAACTGGCGATATATCCTCGTACTCTTGCAAGGCAGCAATTTTAATTTTTGGGACGACATCGTTCTTAGTAACCTTGGGGGCTTCAATTTTCGAAGATTTTTTTGTCTTTTCTTTGGCCTTTTTCTTGGCCTTCTTCGTCTTTTCACGGGCGGGATTCGAAGTCGTGCTTCGAGGATGTGTATTATTACTTGGCATGTTTTGCCTAATGTTTTAAGAGCTTATCGCGCTCGTTCGTGCTCATGTAAGACCGAAATATATAGAAAAAAAATCCAAGTTTTATTATCTAAAATTCATGCAGTGTTTGATGCAAGCGTAAAGGCGGATGCATAGAGATTGTACACCAGCCTTATCATACTTCGACAAGACCGCCATCTTGCCAGTATCAAGGCACGAGACTGAGCATGCGCCCCACTCAAGAAGGCAGTTATGGCCGCCCAAGAAGCGGAATTCGAAGACGAAGAGATTGTTACGGACGAGAAACATGTGGCAGAAAATGACTTAAAGAAGCTACGAGATTCTCATTTTAAAGTTAGCAATGTTGACTATTTGAAGACGTTTACAAAAATTACATTTGACATGCCTGGACAGCAAAAATTAGGCAGTTTAATGCTTTGTTTATAATAATTTCAGGGGGGAGCGTGGTGAGCGTGTCTGCAGCCAGCCGGTTTACACTGTCACAATTTCTGTGATAACAGTTGAAATTTTCTATTCGAAAATCCTAAATCTAAAATAATTTACAGCTAATGCTCGATATACCTCTCAAAAATTCAACAAATTTTTCAAAACATAGGAACGAGTATTTGAATAGGACTGGTCACTTGTAAGGGTCTAAGGGAACATCCTCTAATCCAATGATCACCTGTCGAGTTGAGGTACTCTCTATTTTGGGGTGCAATGGGGATCACCAAAACTTTGACAGTAAAAATTACGAACTCTGTGATAGCAAGTCTGGCATATGGCAGGGCATATGCAATTACAGAACATTATTCGAAAATTACTTTATCCCAAATTCTCAAAGTTACTAATGTAAAGTCCAAGTAGAGTGCATGAAATCAAGTTGGCCACACATGAGCAGAGACAACCATTCATATTTATAGATATATACCATGTCACATACACAAAGTATACATCACATGTACATACTGTAAGCTCTAGAAAAACAACAATGAACTTTTATTTCACCCTACTGTAAAGCTTTCAGAATAATTATGCTATTCAATACTATTCTGAATTGAATTTTTTTACTTGCAGGCAGGTATAAGGGAAGGGATTATGGCTGGCACACAGGTTACTCTACAAGATGGTTTTAATTGGGGCTACAGGGATGCGTTCTTTATTGCACACCATTTTGGCAAAGTTAGGGGAGTGCTGAGGTATATTAGCTCACTGTCTCATGCTCAAATAGGAATAATCTTTTATCTCCACTAATCTAAGAGGAATATACTTGCATAACACTTGCATGTTTGATTCTGTCTGATGGCCCAAAGCTGTTGCACTTTTTTTTAATTGTTTCTGACTTAGAAGTAAGGATGTACATTGCAATGATTAATGTACATAAAATAAAATCACGAATTTCGTTTGAATACTATTTCAACCACCAGTGCAATATCATCTGCAAAAGAGAAAACACAATACTGGGAACGAAGTTGCAGACATTTAGCAAACCTTTTTAGAGCCCTAGTTCCAGCACGCCTGAATGCTGCCTCCTCTGTGATGCCGCTAGCTTTTTTCAAATTTTGACAAACATATTTTACATTTAGCGCCGTCTTATCGTACGTTTCCTTACATAACAAGGGTCAGAATTGTGAAAAGGATAATTACGAAGACAGACTCAAAAATTTATTATCCCAACTTGACAAGATTGAAGAAAATATTTCGAAGACGACACGAGATACTTCACGATCCCCGCCTTCGGAGAACGTCAGAGACTCGAAAATGGGTGTCAAAGGTCACAGTGGTGCTGATGGAAATGATTGTCCGACAACAGTAGTGGACACACCAGAATTTAAACAATTATTTATCCAGTATAAACAGTTGTGCAATGAACTGAGTTTAGATCCTGATGCCGTGGGCATTACATCATATGTCAGTTAATAGTACGTGCATTCCTCGGAGTGAGACTGGAGAAGAGTACGATATCTAGGAACGAAAACCTACTTGTCTGGTTCATGTCGTTCTCAAAATTATAAGACAGTGCCTACCTCATAAGACCTCCTGGGATTTATCACAAGTCATGACGTATAGCGGGCATAAAAAAAGTTGATAAACTTATGAACTTATATAACGCGTTCTTACGTCATTCGTTGGACATGACGATTTCACTCATAGCTATTAGCCAATCAGAAACTGTAATTTCTTAAAATACAGTAGTTACTTGGTCTCGATCAAATCTTAAATGAATCAACAAAATACGTTGTTCTGAATAAATTATTCTGTAAGAAAGATTCTCAGTACTTAAATCAGACCCTGTTGTTTAGGCTGGCCTCGTGTTTATGTGAACAGCACCTGAAGCACAAAGCAAAGCGTGTATAGTATACCTAATCTAAAGTTATAATTACAAAATAAAAAAATGAGGTATTTTGCTATTCGTGTTTCATTTGTGTTATTGGGAATAGAGTGGCGTGAATGGCAAGCTTTCTGTTGGTTGCATCCTAAACAAATGAAAGAAACATCACCTCATGAAATAAGTAGAAAGGGAAGATGAGGTTTGAAAGCTCAATTGCGAGTATAGGCTGTCTATCCTTAAAAGTCCATTCAGTTGAACTTCTTTACAAAAGTTCCGGAGAGGCTCTTTAGGTTTAGGATATCCAGGTTGTTTATATACTAGGCGTTTTACACATTTCTATGCGAAATTCTCACCAATTTTCCTTGCTCCATTCGGTGTTTTCCTGTTCGTGCACATGGAACGTGTAAATATTTCTTGATCTGTCCGATATGTTCGGTGCACTGTAATGTATCACTTGTCCATGAATGATCACCATTGCACCTGCAGTATATGATGGCAATGCTCGAATAAATTGCATGTTAGCTAGTTTCTATACCATTTTATAGATAGGTATACCCGAAAAGCTCTCGAAAAGCACGAAATGATGAAGATAGTGGGTATTGAGGGAAAGGTAATTTCTATAAGAGATATCACTTCTATGGAATTTTTTCGATTTTAACCTTTAGTCAAGAATCATGCCAAGATTTGATGAAATTGCCTCTCGGTGTGGACGTGGTAAGTGTTCCTGCTTTCCATATAGATGTACACACATACTTGTATATATAGGCATGCAGTAATGCAATGACATATAGAACAGGGGATGACTGCGCTGTTTGTGAGCTCTTCACGTTTGTAAAAAACATTCAAAACAACTAATCTAATCGTCAATACCTGCCTTAACTTCGGCTGGAACAAACATGCTCATGTCAAAGTCAATAGGCGGACCCTTTAAAGACATTGCATATTCTGATACCGTTGGCTCTCGAACAAAACGCTGTGTAACACCATCTGTATAAATAATAACAAGTACTACAGTTATATATGTTAGGTTTGTGACCAAACGGTAGATCAAAATCTTTAGAGTGTCTGTAAAGGTCTTCGTTATATTCATATGGTTATTTTCCAAAAACTAAACAAAGGTACTTCATAGATACTGCAATATGGCACACAAAGTGAAGGTGCATAAAATATCCAATGACATACCTTTATGTGATTTAGGTAAGAACCATAGGCAACCATTGTCCACGGTACAGTCTTCGAGAGCGATCCATATCCCAATCAAATTTACAGGAGTTGTGTAAAGAAACGTCGCATCTTGATGAGGAGTAACTTCAGACAAAGAAGCAAATGTATCGTTTAAACTTTCCATTGCATGCCTTGAGCGGAGTTGCTCAAAGATGATACCCAGTGTTAATGTAAACATTTTCGCTTTGCTTACAATTTGAGCTGTTACATTTCTTGAAATATGAAATATATATCTCACATATTATTAGTTCGCCATGCGTGGGCCCCGCTAATTTTTTATTGTTCACCTTCAAATTATATATCATCGCCAAGGGCAAGGTGGAAAAACCAACCTCTCTTCCAGGATATTTGCACTGGAGAGAAGTGATGCAACAAACATTCAAATTAATGATGGGACAAATTAATAATCATTAATCAAACTGGCAAATTAATGACGCGACAATTACCGCGCGCGTAGTTATATAAAGTTTGAATGTAATTAGTGACGTGACAATGAGTGTGCAAGTAATTTACGACGATTGCGTTCAACATGCAAGGACGCACCACCCATTGCTGTGATTGCTGGAAAAAAAATTTCGTATGCGGAGTAGTTCGTGAATGCGGCGTTGGTCAGGACGGAGAGAGAAGCAAGACGCAAATTACTTGTAAAGGTGAAATAAAGTGGGGGAAAAGAAGAATAAGTAAACGATGTTGTTAATTGGTAGAATCGTACGACCTCTATCACGTGCAAGGTATTTGGTGATTCCGTGATAGCGCCAAGTCACGAAGTTTCTTAATTACAGTACAGAGTTCTTTAAATGAGAGTTCCTATAGTTAGAGCCCACCGAGTTAATTTCTGTTATCAAAAGTATAAGAACGAACGGCAACTATAAAACACTAGTACTGCATGGCCACACTTGAAGTATATGCGTGTATATAGTATAAGAAATCGTATACTATGCATGGTACATTGACCATGTGAATGGACATGCAATTAAAACAATTAATATACCTTCGCCTCCAATTCTTGGTTGCTGTTAAAGAAAAAAGCGGGTAAATCAGAATTTTTCAAAATTTGTCAAAATTAAAACACTTCACTTTTCCAATAAAGCGGAAACCCTAGGCTATAGTCAGGCAAACATAAATTGCAGAAAATCTTCAAAATTAACTCGTTGAAGTGGTTTTTTCCCGTATATATTATATTCTTCTAACTCCAAATCGAACATGGTCGTCGACAATAACATAAACCTGTAATAATATCATTCTTAATGATTCTACAGATTGGTGTTTAATATGTAGCTAAACCTACCTTGAAAATAAACATACTCTGGCTAATAGCTGGCTGTTTGAAACCCAGAGACCTAACAGTTTCCTGATAAAAAAAATAGCCATAATGTTCAAACGTTTTCACTTATAAGAGTATATGAGTTTATGTAATCCACTTAAGGCTCATGGCCATGTTTCGCGTCGCAAATTTCTCTGCAACATGCATGCATGCATGCAACGCAATTCCCTGAAACAGACCAGAGTGACAACTAGTAGTAGTAGCGATGAAAATGTACTTCCTTACTTTTCTTTACGACGTTTTCTGGACTATAGCTAGCAAAGTATACTCAGGTTCTTTTATTCACAAAGCCACACATATATAACAAGTTTCGTTGAAACCTATTCGCCGGTGTGACTGTAAGGCCTTACACATGCATGTCTCCATATATGAGAGATGGATCAATATATAATTCTAAACTGATTAGATCGTGCTCCCAGTATGCTTATATATAGGGCATTTAAAATCCCAGGTTTAGAAAAGAAAAGTGGTAGAGATATATATCAGTAATCTCGCATTTACCTGTATTCGCTGGTCAAACGTAATTTTCTTAAATTCTGGATTGAGTGCATGGAGAGCTTTAAAACAAAAAATCAATGATAAACCCATAGCTTATATAATTAGTTTGGATGTAGTTCCTGCACCAAAATCCATGTAAAACATTAAAACGAAGCGGGCAATGTAATCTATTGTTAACTTGATGCGTTCGTAGAAGCAAATTATGACATTTTTTCTAAGTCTCATAAGTCTCGGCTATTGATGAACCCGTTCAGATTTGTGATTGTTGCCAATATTGCTGCCTTATATTTTGACTGTTTTTCCGATAACTTCGGAAATGGGATTTTGAAAGAGAAATGCACTGAGATTCAGTCAAGCGGTTTGGGAAGATACTATATAGGCCAGCTACCGGCGTTTGGCGTCAGGTGTTATGTATGAAAGAAAACATAGCTAGATCTCACATGAATGCAATTTTAAGATGATATATGCAAGTTTATTATATACCTCAAATTCAAATTGTCCAATCGAAAAATATTATATGTACCAAGTGACGAGGAGATTTTTCGCGGTATCGCATCCCAGTCCCCTATTTCCGAGCAAGGGTGTGACATAAAATTTATCACACTGTGGTATTAGATTTATCAATGGATCGGATTTATCTCACGCGACGTCTCGCGAGGACTGCACGCACTTTGAAATCAAGAAATTAACGATTCTAACGAGAAAATTAACCGTATTCTCCACGAAAGACAAAGAGAAAACACGAAAAAGTTGACTAATGTTAAAATACGTTATACGGTAATTTTTGTACGCCTTCTTCGAGTACTTTTACCGATTTATAGAATATAGAAATAATTATCCGGCGAACCTTTGACCTTTGTGCCGCATGTAAGTATGTTTGCCAACTTTGCCTCTTATACAATACTTTTTCGGTATAATATATCATTTATAGACCCTCCGCTCGGGGGATTTGGGGACAAAATATTTCCCTGAGTAATGATATGTTTAATGTTTCGGGAAATATTTCGCCGAATCCCCCTCACTCAAGGTCTATAAATGATGGATATTATAGTAATACTATAAAGGGGGCAATAGGCGTGGTCTTTCTTACCGTGCGCGATTTTATTCAATGAGAGATGTTTTTCAACGCGAAGCTTACCTAAAATAAATTATTACACTGTTACAAGTGATATTAATTCTGCCCTGAATTCTGAAAGAGCAAGTTTTAACGTTGAATATATCCACGCAGTGGCAGTGAGCAGCCTGGCAGCGTTTTCAAGCAACAAATAGACAATAATACAAGGGATTTTAATACAAGGGATTTTGATGTATCAAAATAGTTTTTGCACCACAATTGATAAAAGAGAAGTATTATTTTTGTCTATTTTAGGCCGTTGTTATGCTACATTTTATGCGAAGTTGTTTGAACGGTAACTTCAGCCCGTATAGTACTTTAACGAGTGACGAAAATAAAGCGTGCCTACCATTCTCGTCAAAAGCGTTTTGTTCAAAGAAAAACCTAATCTTGTCAGAGCTTGTCATAAAGTATTCATCATTTTTCTAAAAACACATGACAGAGAGTAAAAAAGTAACAAAGTCAAAGTAAATAATATAGACACCGGAAAAAGGCGACGTCAATCATTCTAGATATAGATATCATATGAACTGACCTATCCTAACAAGATAAACTGCCATAGTAAATGACATAGAGTTATGAGGGACAATCATTCAAGGCATTGCAAACTTATATAATATGGATTATATTGTTGTGCTCAGTGGCAGATTCAGAGTTAGGCAGCATAAATTACTACAGCTTAAGATTTAAGATTGTAATCACATTGCTATAGATTTTTATTTCGAAATATTCTTTAGAAACCCATGACCAATTGCATTGTTATTAAGGTATTTTGAATTTAAAATCAAGCCTTTTAAATTGTGTGTCCCTGCTAGGGTAAAGTTACATGCACAAGGTTATTTGAAGGGATAGCAGCTCTGATACCCCAATTCCCAAATGTGTATCACCAATAAGTACTGTATCTAACCCACCTGGGTTATTCCTGTCTTAAAAATGGTTTTTGGATGTTGTGAAATATCAAAGTCATCAACTATTTTCAAACATTCATTCCTTAAGGCTTGACACTCTTCAACGCTGAAAGCATTATCAACAATCAAGTAACCATCATCATGAAACTGCAAATATAATAACCAATGACACTATGATATTGATGTATGAATAGCATAATAAGATCATATATATTAGGTTATCAGAAGTAATCAGAATATTACTTGTTCAGACTGGACATAAAGATTATGATATATAAGTATTCAGATACTCCATGCATCCCACTTAGGCAATGCGTGTCCTGTGACACGTACCTTGCACGTCGTATAAGCGTAATATTTTACAAAATAGTCCAACAACATATAATTTGCACAAAATTTAATCATCTGTCCCGGGGCAGGAACAAATTTCATCGGGTAATCTAAGGGATCATCTTGTCGGGCGTCCGATTTGTGACATAAAAGCTGCAACAGGATTCTCCCGATGAGTTGTCGCCTTGCGATCGTGTGAGCGTACATACCCATATAATGATAATGCTGGACAAATCTTCCAAAATTTATGGCAATAAATTCTAAAATTATGCATACCTTTTTCAGTTGATCGTTATTTAATGGTTCCATTCTCTTCCAAACAACAGTTCTTAACGCGATGCTAAAGAATTTGTACAATTAAAATTCAAGAACAAAAATTGCAACATTCAATTTTTTTATATTTTATTGTTTTCGTTCAAATTGTTAGAAAACTTCATGTAAGCGTGTCCCGAGGTTCGCAGGTTGTGACCTAATTCTCCTATACAGCAGACGTATATAATTGCATGTTTTTTTCGCTGTTACAATACAAACAAGAAAGTTGAAAGAAATGTTGTCTCGAGTTATAAAGACTGTTTCGGCTGTGTCAAGACGAACACTAGCAGCTGATTTTGTTCCTGCACGTGCAAGATCTAAGCATACATTACCATCCTTAGATTACGACTATGGTGCACTGGAACCGCATATATCTGCTGAAATAATGGAAATCCACCATTCTAAACATCACGCTACCTACGTGAATAATCTTAACATTGCTGAAGAAAAGTATGCTGAGGCACAAGCTAAGGGTAATAGCTAATTACCACTTTTCTTCAGTTCACATGTCTACATATAAATTATGTGGTGTGGTGTAGGTGATTTCCAGGGGGTGTAGTCTGTGTGCATTTTAAACTGTAAAGTAATAGTCGCTTCTCTCGATTGCTTCTCTAAATAAATGTTACTAATTACTAAAGCAATAATCATTGTTTTGAATTTAGTTATAAAAGACAGTTTTATAATATATATATAAGTAATATATATAATAATAATAGCACTTATTATATACACAAGCGCCAGATATGAGGTATGCTGCAATTTCATTGGTTGGCTACTAGACAGATATTAGCTCATATCTGTCTAGTAGAGAAAGTAAACAAAATGAAATAGAAATCCAAGCTTTAGTTGATAATAGCACACCAAAATGCACCGAAAGGGCGACAGCTCATACATGACTCGAGTTCGCAGAATAACTGTTTTAACATTATAATCACTAGGTACCAAAATTCCAAAAATGGATGGGCAATGCAATGGAAATATAAATATTGTATATCCTAGAGGTTATTTATCTCAAAACAGATTATACCTCCTTCCAGGTGATTTAACTGCTTGTCTAGCACTTCAACCTGCCTTGAAGTTCAATGGTGGTGGTCATATCAATCATACAATATTCTGGAAGAATCTCTCCCCTAATGGTGGAGGAGAGCCACAGGGTAAAATATTTTGCATATGTGAATTGTCTGCATATTAACATGGATTGTCACAGAAACACAGGTTATGAAATAGAATAATGCTTTACAAGTGACCCTTTATCCTTTTAAAAAATCCAGACGAATATACAACAGTACCTAAGATAACTAGGATTTTTGGGAGTTTTTACCTATATTTGCCAGGTGATCTCATGGAAGCAATCAAGAGAGACTTTGGTTCATTCAATGAGATGAAAGAAAAATTAAATGCAGCTTCTGTTGGTGTGCAAGGATCTGGATGGGGCTGGTTGGTGAGTGTTGTAATAATGTTGGTTACACTACATTCTGATTAATATATGCATATAAATTATGCTCTAGTCCTGTGTGGGTATATATCAGTGGCGTAGCCAGGGTAGAAAATTTGGGGGGGGGCGACCAGTGAGTGGGGAAGCCACAAACTCCTAGGGGAAAAATTTGGATTTCTAAGGCTTGGAAACGCCATTTCCTGGATTCTGATACGAGCTTTTAAAAGTAATCGTAAGGTTACAAATAGCAAAATTCTGTCATTATTACATAAGAACAACGAACAATACACGTGAAAATATCTTTAGATTTACTGATTACTCGTTGCTTACCTAACTTGATCCCCCCTCCTCATATTCCGCTGGATTTAAACATTTCATGAGAACAGTTTTAAAGACCATTGGGGGCCCCCCCCTTGTCCCCCTTGGCTACTCCCCTGGTATATATATGGGTATATAGACTTGAATTCGATAGTTTATATTTCTTCGGCGAGGAAGGTTGTGGTCCTAATATGTGTTCAGGTCATTACACTGTATCCATTATTAGGGATATTGTAAAACTTGTCAAAGATTAAAAGTTGTTACTTGTGCTAACCAAGATCCACTGGAAGCCACAACTGGTGAGTTATGTTAACATGGCTGCCTTACTACCTGTACATTGATTATTCTAATGTTGTGCTGCAATATTTGGTTCGTCCATGTACTGGCTGTAGCATACCTGTGGTATAGTCTTGGCAACTTGAAAACCATTTGCAGTTAACTCAGGATAAAACCCATAAAAGTACCAACATCGTAAATATCAACACAAATTGATATTGACCTGACTTCAGGCTATACAGAAACCCATGGTCTAATGAGTCTTTAATTGTCACTGAAAAGTGTCTGGTTCAAACAAAATATTCAATCTGTACCTGTTCCCTCTTCACCAGGTCTTGTACCATTGTTCGGCATTGATGTCTGGGAGCATGCGTACTACCTACAATACAAGAACGTAAGACCTACTTATGTCAACTCTATCTACAATGTTGCAAACTGGGAAGACGTCAATGAAAGATATCAGCAAGCCGTGGGAAAGGCATAACCTTTCGTATGATGTGACTGTAGCTAGATACACCATGCTTGGTTGATATACCATTGATATACTTTCATTGTAGCACTCATGGTGAAAAAATAAAGTCGATATATGCAATTAATTTTTTTAATAAGAAAGTCATATTCTTGCGTACGTACGTTACATTAAACACAAATTTCCAAAGATGTGTTTTTAAGTATATTTATTTTTTATTTACGTTAGCAACAGCGGGACTAAATTGTCAGGCTAGCTACGAGGCAACCCGCAACCTCAGTACTCTTTTCCACACTAACATTCCTCAGCGAAAAATTGACTGTACATTTCTTAAGCTTAAGCATATAGACCCATTGCACGGACGTCATAATCATTACAAGTTGTCTGCCAGATGCTTCCTTGCTTCAGTAAAAATGATCCGGCGTTGTGCGAGCAGTGAAAGTTTATATAGCGATCAAAAGCAGTTAACGAAGCAAAGATTCTCACACTAGTAAACATTTCTGTATTTTGCCCAAGGCCAAAATCTACGTTTTTGCAAAATTTATGCTACGTTTTGTCCTCCTGGGGCCGGTTGTATCAAGCCGACAAGCCCGTTTAGCTTAAACGGTGAATAAGTTCAAAATCAGTAGAAAGCAAGTTTATCGTTTTATTTAACAAGCGAACTAAAATACTAAATGTTTTTGACTTTCATACAAAGATACTGTTTACAACTACATATTCTGTGCATAGAATTCAAGTTGACTCATTCAAGATGGAAATTTCGTAGGTAAAATGGCGGCAATTATGATTTTCCTTTGAAATTTCCGCGCCAGAGGACTGGATCATACCTACAAGAAAGGCTTCATGAATCATGATCTGCCATCTTGGCTTCGCTCATTCATGAGGGAAAGTCAGAGAGTGAGCGTTTGCGTTTTGGTCTTATTTGAGTTCACTGGGAAAATCATAATTGCCGCCATTTTACCTACGAAATTTCCCCGCCGGAGGCCTGGATCGTACCTACACACTTTACCTACATTCCTACAAGAAAGGCTTCAGTTTCCGCCATCTTGGCTTTAAACTTCCGACAAAGTGAGCGTTCCAGTTTATTTGAGTTCACTGGCTAGTCCTCTCTCGCGCGTTCAAACCAGTGAACTCAAAAGTTCACTCAAAATTTCTTTTGAGTTCAATGGTTCAAACCGGTGACATCACAGGAATGCAAGGCGCGCTAAGGAGGACTAGGGACTAGTCTGGCCTGAACAGTGATATATATAAAACTGGGTACGGGTACAAATTTTAGCCGTGCTGATAAATTGAGTGTAGTGTATATAAATGGGCTGAAATACTTGAGCGATAAAGTCGGACTATGACTATCATGATGCCCCGTACGTATCTTACAGGGATATTTGCATTAGAATTTCTTCAGCCAAGACGATAACGTAATTAGAACGTGTTTGCATGGTCAAAATAATTTGTTGATCGCGCCTATAACTGCACCATACCTTAGTTAATTGCTGAACATCTCTTAGTGCCTTTCTAAATGCACGATTCTGTTTCGTTTGACAATATTCGTCCACATAGTTCGTATATATAGTTTGTCTTGTGTTTATATATACACAGACGAATGACCTACAGACAAATCTCTCGTATAAATCGCGTTAGCTTCCATATTAAACATTGAACGTCTGAAGAAATGAACAATGATAATCACTGATAATGCATATATTATTATTATACAACATTATTATTATTATTACTACAGCTTTCAAGAGGCCGTTACTCTACTTATAAATATTTACAACTATTTATAACTATGGTACAGGCTTTAGTCTACAAGGTGTATAAAAAAAACTGCAAATACCATGATTTGTATGCACAAGATTATACATTAGCATTTCAATGACTGTGCTGCAACTAATTACGCTTCTGGGATTTGAAAATACGTTTCCCAGGGTTGTCAAAACAAGCACACAAAGTGAATTAAACTCATGAGTTCGATTACGAATGGCTCAGTTAAGAACAGAACTAAGAGAATTTCTTGTTTTAAACGTATACGAGCAAACTCAGCCTCCGTCTAAAGTCGTGTTTATTGGAAAATTAAGCACATAACACAAGGGTACGCAAAACACAATGGTTAGGGAGCGGGTAAACATGATAACCCTGCGAAACGTATTTTCAAATCCCAGAAGCGTAATTAGTTGCACAGTCATTGAAATTCTAAAGTGCATACAAATTAAATTATGGTATTTGCAGTTTTTTTGATACACCCTGTCCCTGTATTTAGCATTTCTTACATGCATAGCGACCCAAATATTTCTGTTCTTATTAGGTATAGACATGGTCATCTGCTTACTGTATGTTTGTTCTCAATATTCATGTAACGTATGTGTCAAAGACAATATTGTAGTCCATGAAAATTTCTTAAATCTCAGTAGAGATGAAGTAAGGAAACACAGCCACGAATTCGTGTAATCAGTCAGTAAATCGCTGGTCCATTATGACCCAGTTTTACGTCATAAAATGTTGGTCAAATTAGAGATCGGACACGAGCGTTTTAATGCGATAAATTAAGTCCATCACAATTCAGCCTGCAATTAAATCTAATTCAATTCTATTCAATTCATTTCACGATATCACGCAACAAACAGTCACATGCAGTTCTGGCGGAATCGGTATAGGATCGCAATAATGTTATGCGCATTAAAAGCATATACATGCACAATTGATATTATACAATAATTATATAGCATGTAAATCCACAAAAGTATTAATATAGATTCTACCAAATGCATGTCTTGTTTGCATTAATTTTTTTTGCAAGTCATGTAAACATGCAAATCGTTTGTCCTCTACACAGGATGTAAATATTATGTCTTCTAATTATGTTTATTATACTGGCGCCACTAGTGTTACCACGACTTATTATACTTGTGCAGTGATCACACTGATATGTCGAGACAGTTTCAGCAACAAATTTCCTGACCATTGAATAGTTCTTTCATCATTATGTCATCATTCAATGGGAATTTCAGAGAGAATTATACATGGCAAATAGAAGGACATTTTGGGATTCATTGCTATGTCATGTCATTTTTCAATAAGAAGATACATAAGGTTGCTAAGTGATATTATAATGCAAAGTCTCAGGTGTACGTATATATGAAATGAATGCTGTGATGATGCTACTCTGATTTACCAACCGGGTAAGCTGAAAAATTAGCTTGACCACGGTGGGAATCAAACGCACCACCTTTGGTTTACTAGTCCAATGCTCTTCCAATTGAGCTATTAGGTCAAGACAGTTTGAGTAATTGATATTTCGGAACTCACTCTAGTCCCTTCTACATCTATGCGTCTAAGTGTATCGCCTGCCGTCATCTAGACCCGGTGAAAAGCCGTAATGACAGATTACTACGCTTTTCGTTTATGCATGCGTCTTTGACTTTTGAAGTGAACATGTGAGACACCTGTTTCTAAAATGTTTGCCTAAAATGGAAGAATTAAGCCATTCACTTAGCGATATATGCAAGCTATCAAAATGCTACGATGTCAATGAAGCACCCACAAACACATGCAATGAACTAAACATTAAAGATTTTGTTCATTAAAACTATTGAACACGCCATATATAGCTAACTATAAACTATATATGATGAAAAGCCTTTGTCTGGACGTTTGTCCAACGCAGTAGTTCGCAGTCATAATTAGTTATTAATTGTTGGACATTTTACCAGCAGAACACGAAAAAACCTTCTACGTGTAAGGAAAGGAGCATTTAAAAGAGAGGAACAAACTGAAAACTCTAGATCTATCGCTTCTTTGCTGCAAATTCAACGCAATCTGTAAAACAACGTTGCGCAATAATGAATACACATTAATTAGGGTGAGTCAAAAAAACCTGACACCTTTGAAATTCAAATTAGCTGCGAACTTATCGCTGGAATTTGACAATTCCCATTGTGTACAATCAACAAGACGTGGTTAATTAATGCGAAAGTGTTTAAACTAATTCCACGTTCTTTTTTATTACAGAGCTTAGAATGCATTTTAACTCCCAAAGGGAACAAACTTTATGTTCAAGGTTAATTAATGGGTTCACTTGTTTGATATGCTTCGTATACCCATAAGATATTTTAGGCAACTTCTGTCTCATTACAGCCTATTACAGACACATTGCAGCTAATTTGAATTTCAAAGGTGTCAGTTTTTTTTTACTCACCCTGTATAATATGGTTAGCATGCATATTCTGATTAGCATGCATGCATGTCTACAACATGCAACATGGCTAGCAGTTCTTACGCAAAAATCGGTAATGTCAAAAGTATAATATTGTTACAAGAGGACATTCATTGTAGTGATAGAGCGCTTTCTTTATACTTTAAAAACGGCCAGATCGGTCCTTTTAAATTTCAGTAGAGACGGATTACTGGTATCTTATAGAGTGTTTCAAGAAATCTGCATTCACGTTTATCGTTATTTACATCTGCCTAGCTCGGAAAGTGCAGTTTCACCGCTATGTTCTTAACGAAATACTTTATTTCAATTTAAAATATGACCGTTTAATTTTGACCATTTTGGCCGCTTAAAGGAAAGCGCCCATAGACTCAGGCCTAGGTTATACGTCGCATTTTGGTCGCGTCGAATGCAATTCAAACAATAGATAATGAGCTGATTAACCTCATTAAGTTTCATTACCATCTCATTATCTATTGTTTGAATTGCATTCGACGCGACTAAAATGCGACGTATAACCTAGGCCTCATAGAAGACATAGAAATTTCCTGAATTTAATAGAAATGAGATATATATACACAGGCACGTAATACTTGCAGATGTAAATCACATGATTATCAGGCACAATTTATGTCGGGTAAAAAGATAGCCTTATGCCATAATCATTTATAACCATATCAACTAAATATCACAATATGTTCCCCGCAGTGTATGCCTTTTGTGATTATTACAATGCTGTTACCGCTACTTGTGCAGTGATCACACTGATATGTCGAGACAGTCTCAGCATAGCATTATAAAATTT